ATTCCTGCTCTTCCTATTTACTCTTTAACTTTATTGAATTTCGATTTCCACTTTACCAGCCCCCGCCTAATTGTTCTCAGTGAAGTGACATTGGTGTTCATGTTTTGGTCTTTATTCTCTCACACTTGGATGACCTCTTAAACAAACAATCCCTTCCTCTCGAGGCTCTCCTTAGCTTTTGAGCTACTACTTTATCCATTTTTTTCTCTTTTTCATCCTACTCATTGTATTTCTTATGGAGAAATAGGAGCGAGGGCTCTCCTTCATTTGCTCTTTTCTATTTTAAACATTGCTATTAATATTGTTGAGAAAAATCTGTTTCAGAATAAAACAGATTTTATATTAAATTCTGATATAGTTTCCTTACAGATTTAATTTCAGATTAAAAAAAATTGTGGTTGATTTATTTTTCCCTGTTCATTGGGTATTTAAGAAAAATAAAATGAGCATAAATACTAATGAGGATAATTGCATAGGAGTAGAATCCAGATTTTTGTCTATTTTTGCTCTAGGTCAGTAGTGACAGAATTGCCATGGGTTAGTCAATTAAAATTTAATAATTTGTTGTCACTGTTAAGTTTTCAGTGAAATTATTTTTTCCACCCATTTATATTCAACTTTTTCTTATGTATTTAGATTTTCTTTGTGAAACCTCTTATTACTTACGTTGGTGTGGAAGTCACAGATTTTTCTTTTCACAGTTGAGGAAGATGAAGAATGAAGCAGATTTTGGAAAGGAAGTATAGGAGGAAGATAAGTTTCAAATGACTATCGTTGCCCAAGTTAGATATATGTCTGAATTTCAAGGCAGAGGCTTGGACTATCTAGAGTTTGGGAGTAGATGTGTAGATAGCATATAGACATTAGTTGAAGTTGAGTAACAAGATGAGATCATCTAAGAGTTGAGTATAAATGGAGATGAGAGGAGATCTAAAAACTGAGCTCTTGGCATTCTAGTGTTTGAAGGTTAGGGAGATAAGGAATAACCACCAAAGGAAACCAATCAAGATCAGCTCTTCAGGTAGAAAGAAAAACAGATTTTGTTGTCTTAGAAGTCAAAGAAAGAGAGTGCTCCAAGGATAAAGGTATAGTAGTTAACTCTTTATATATCTGATGTTGCTACTTGTTCAAGTAAGATGAAAGAAAAATATTTAATGACCTGGGTATCATTTGTGACCTTTATAAGGGGCAGTGGAATTGAAAGCCTAATTTAGATTGGATTTCAGAGAGAATGAGAAAAGAATTAGACACAGTAAAATATAACTCCCCCGCTACCCCATCCCCGAGTTTTGCTTTAAAAGGAGCACAGAAATTTACTACACAACATATTATTTGGAACTTTGTCTAAGTTAAGTATAACTTCAAAAAATTTATAGAAAAGTCACATTACCACTAGTGCCACATTTTTCTGCTATGTCTTGTGTGGTTGAGACTCTTTACATGTTTATAGGACATTTATATTTCTTTATCTATAAATGCCTGTTCATCTCCTTTGCCCATTTTTCTAATATATTGTTTTTAATTAATCTATAGAATTTTTTTAAAAATGTTGTCATAGAGCCAATAATCTAAGGCAGGGATTGGCAAACTATGACCTATCAGCCCTGTCTGTTTTTGTTAATAAAGTTTTATTGGAACAAAGCAGACCTACTTGTTCACATATTATAAATTGTTTATCATCGATTAAATAAAAAATATTTGCCAACTCTTGATCCAAAGCAACAGTTTTGTCCATATTTCCTTGGACTAAAGTTCTATAAAGTATAATTCTGAAAATGAGAAATTAACTCCCTAATGTAAATTGTGTTCTCTAATCCTCTACAACACACTTTTTCTATCTTTATTTAATAGACGCTTATTTAGATACGACCATCAGATAGATATTAAACATCTATTTTGTCTCAGGTCTTTACCAAAGTTTTTAGATATGGCCATCAGATAGATATTAAACATCTATTTTATCTCAGGTCTTTACCAAAACTACAAGATGTGGCACCTACTCTTAGTGAGCTTACTGTCTAATCCGATTGAAAAAATACCACACATAGAACTGTATATTAAAACGTGTCAACTTGTAATGAGGCTATACTCAATACCAGAGGAATTATAGCAGAAATTATCTGTGAATGAAGACAGATTCTTAAAAACGTCAGTCTGAATCTAATCATTTAGATGAGTTTCAGAAGTCCTAGGAACTACTTGAAATTATATATAAAAATGTCTATGTACAAGGGCCTTTGGTTATTATTCTGGGTTGAAGGAGGTCCACTCAGATTCTCTAGAGACTTTGGGAACAAAAAAATTAAAGAAGTATAGTGTCTTACCCCTTTTGATAGAAACCCAGGTTCTTTCCATTAAATAAACTTGAGCATAAGTTTTAATTCTGTCTATTCTGAAATCCCAATGATGTTTTGATTTGAGTTGAGAATCAGTCATATTCTCTAAGCCTATCTGGGAAATGGAAATTGGGTGATAGGAGGCGGTTTTGAGTAAAATGAAGGAATCTCAAGCTAAATTTGATACGACATCTATAAGACAAGAGAGAGTTAACATGCATAAAAGAGGCAAACTAAAACCAGGCTAGTTGGCTCTGCTGTGTTTTGAATGATCTGACTTGCACTTACCCTGTTGGGAACCATGGCTAATTTTGTTCTCGGATGGTATGACGATTTGCTATATAAAGACTATGTAAACCTTCATTTCTAGCAGCCCAGTATCTCTGTGTGTCTAGAAACTCTGGAGACTGGGAAACTCAAAATTCATTTTCAGTATTAAAATCAAGAAGATTTGAAAAACTATATACCGTATAGAGAAAAATGTGTTGTAATGAGTCTGCATTCTACAAGAGAACAAAACAAATTTTCATTTGATTGAAACTGGGGTTGAAAGATGAGATTTTCTTTTTCCCAGTTAAATTTATTATTTTTTGTATGGATAAGAGATTAGAAACAAGACAAACTATAATAAGTTTTATCAGAAAATTTTAAAAAGTGTATTTTTAAAGGTCAAGTGTGGTAGGATACTTTAAGGAATAGTAAGACCTCTTGAAAAACAAAAACTACTAGAAAAGAGTAATTTTTTTTATGCCCTGACTTATTTTTTTAATTAAAATTTTTTTCTATTACAGCTGGTATACAATATTAGTTTCAGGTGTACAGCATAGTGATTAGACATTTATCCCGATAAATCCAGAACACATCTGAACCATATATAGTTATTACAGTATTATTGACTGTATTCCTTATACTATACATCCCCATGACTATTTTGTAACTACCAATTTGAACGTCTTAATCCCATTTCCTTTATCGCCATACCCTCAACCCCCCTTTCATCTATCTGGCTATCATCAAGTTGTTCTTTGTACCTGAGTTAGTTTACATTTGTTTTTTTATTTTTGTTCTTTAGATTCCACATGTAAGTGAAATCATATAACATTTGTCTTTATCTGATTTACCCTACTCAGCACAATACCCTATCCATGTTGTGGTTGGTAAGATTTCATTCTTTTTTATGGCTGAATAGTATTCCATTATATGTACGTACTACTCTTCTTCATCCATCCATTGATGACCATCTAGGTTGCCTCCATATCTCGGCTGTTATATATAATACTGCAGTGAATATATATATATTCACATGTCCCTTCAAAGTAGTGTTTCGGGTTTCTCTGGGTAAATACCAAGAAGTAAGATTACTGGATCCTTCTTTGTCTCTTGTTATAGCCTTTGTTTTAAAGTCCGTTTTGTCTGTTATAATTATTGCTACCCTAGATTTTTTATTTGTTTCCATTTTCACGAACCATCTTTTTTCATCCCTTTACTTTCAGTCTGTGTGTCTTTCAATCTGAAGTGAGTCTCTTGTAGGCAGTGTATATAAGGAGTGTCTTGTTTTCTTATCCATTCAGCCACTTTATCTTTTGATTGGAGCATTTAATCCATTTATGTTTGAAGTAATTGTTGATAAATATGTAGCTATTGCCATTTTTTTATTCATAATTTTGGTATTTTCTTTTTATTATTAAAGTAGTCTTTCTAACATTTCTTGTAACACTGGTTTGGCATTGATGAACTCCTTTCGCTTTTTTCTTGTCTGGGAAGCCCTTTATCTCTCCTTGGATTTTAAAGGATAGCCTTGCTGGGGAGAGTAATCTTGGTTGTAGGTCCTTGCTTTTCATCACATTGAATATTTCATGCCAGTCTCTTCTGGCCTGCAAAATTTCTGTTGAAAAATCAGTTGACAGTCTTACCTACAAGGAACTTCCTTGTAGGTAATTAATTGCTTTTCTCTTGCCGCTTTTAAGATTCTCTCCTTGTCTTTAACCTCTGATATTTTAATTGTGACAGATCTTGGTGTGGGCCTGTTTGGGTTCATCTTGTTTGGAACTCTGTGCTTCCTGGGCTTATATGTGTATTTTTTATGCCAAGATAGGGAAGTTTTCCATCATTATTTTTTCAAATAGGTTTTCAATCCCTTGCTCGCCCTCTTCACCTTCATGTGAATGTTGGTGCTGCACTTGGCCTCCTAAACTATCCTTAATTTTTGTATTTTTTTCCTTGTTCTGTTCTGATTGGGTGTTTTCTGCTACCTTACTTTCTAAATCATTGATTTGATCCTCTACTTCATTTAATCTAGTGTTGGTTCCCTCTAATGTATTCTTCATTTCTGACTGGTTCTTTTTTATGTTTTCTATCTCCATTTTTATGTTTCCTATCTCTTTTTAAAGTTCTCACTGAGTTCATCAACACTTCCCCTGAGTTCAAATAAGATCTTAAAACATTTCTAATAAGTATAGGGTTGTAAATGAAGTTTAATTTTCTAATATTAATTTATTTTAAAGTTTAAAAATAGTTTTAGTAATCTTTTATGTCCTGTTAGCTTTTTTGTTTTATTTTACTATAGTCACTTTTTACATTTTTATTGTTTTAGTGTGAAAAACACATTTGTAAAAGCCTTAAATGATCCTGGCCTCTGCCTGTTTTCACCTACAAGGTCTTTTAAGTTTTTTTAATCTTGACTTTCTACCATCAGGGCTGTTTGGATTAAAACCCTGGTGTTCGGAACAGAAATGCCATATCAGAATCTTTATATAGTGCTATATACTTTGTGAGTTTTTAAATTTTGGTGTAGAATATGATAAAATAATAGCATGCTTTTTTGAAGCCGCTGGGAGCCAGAATTAGTGTGCAAGAGGATAAAATAGAAACCCAAACATATTAAAGATTTATTCTTCTTTCCCATATAATGACTAAGTTAGTTGAAGAGATGCAGATTGATTCACCAAAGGCTATTTCTTGATACCTTTGGGATTTTATCTGTTGTAGCAATGCAACTGTGTAGACATTTTTAGCAATATATTTTGGTAGCATTTTTTGTTATATTTTATATGCATCTTGTGAAAATAACCTTTCTGAACATTTTCTTCATCCGTATGATGGCAAAAATGCTGTGTACAGTGTAGAATTATATTAAGAATATGAAGTAATATATGTCCAGCGCCTAGCTCAGTTGTTGGCACTGGTATCAAAGTCGCTATTACTTCTAAGTAAAATCTTCATTATCTTTAGGATATCTTTTCTATTCTCTTTTATGAACTGTCTCATAACCATTGAAGTAACATAATGATGTCTGGTCAAATATTGGTGTTTTGACAGTGGTTTGCCAGTATGTAATCTTTTATAATTGACACAACCACTGTTTTAGTATTAGTAATTGAATATAAGGAGTTTAAGTGCTTTATTGTTTTCACATTTTATTGATTGGTGACAGTAAAGTACTAAGAAAGATTTTGTTTTAAAAATCTGTACTATTAATTTTTTTCCATGTTAGGAGTTTATTATGAATTTGTAGGAACATTTGAAAGTGGACTTGGTCATTTATTTATACCAGTTCATGCTCCCTTTGTAGTCGTAAAATTTCACATTTCGAGACTCTGATTTCATAAAGATTATTAACTGGATAGTTCCACCAAATGTGTAAATTATAATGAGATGTTATGAATTCTAATAGAAGTAAAATTTCCTTTTCTTTTTTTGTTACAGAAGTAGAAAGTAATGAAAAGGACCGCAAACCTGAGGAAGAAGAGCAAGTGACACATGAAGATGAAAGACCTTCTGAGAAAAGTAATTATGTACAAAAAACTATTCTAGTTTAAAAAATACTAATTCACTGTTTCTGTTTTTAAGGCTGTGCAATATACTTTTCTGTCCACAAGATGATTGTAAAACTTTGCAATTTAAGTAAGCCACTGTTAAATCATTTGGTTGATGGCTAACCCAAGGATCTTTGAAAGTATTAATTATTTTATAAACTTCAGTGTTTATTTTGTTTATTTATACTTTTCATTGTTTCATAAGAAAGATTTAAGCTTAACATTTAGTAAGGTACTAATTATTTGACCATCTTGAGAGAAATTATTTTAGATTTATGTTTAGAGCATGGGACTGTAAGAATTTTGTCTGAGGTGATATAAGTGAATGGAAGTATATGTCCTAGTCTGTCTAAGGTTCTTAAGCTTCATGGAAAGGGAAATGATGAGAGATTGAGTGTCGTTAGGTTTATAGGAAGATCACTGGACTGGAAGTTAGAAAACCTGGGTTCTGTAACTCTTCCTGTCATACTGCTCTCCATGGGTGAGTATGTATGTTGTGATTACAAGAGAAATCATGGAATAGAATTAGATTTAAAAAATAGGCACATAGATATGGATATAGAATGTAGTGGAGCAGGATAGATATGGTCACATAATAAGGTCATTTGCCTTTAATAAGTGTGGAGATTTTAGTATTTTCACTTTTTATATATTGAAAAAGAAACCAGATAAAATTTTGTTTATGATCTCATGAATGTTACAAGTGAAGATCTTTGAATAGCTGTGCTTTACTAAATTTACTTTTATAATGACATTAATTTTATTATTTTTATATATTTGAAATTCATTAGGATATGTTAAGAATAACTATTATTGTTATTTTCCTAAGGCTGATGATTAAGTAAGAATTTTTTCTAAATTTACTCAGGAGTAGGGATTAAATAAAACTATACACAGTTGTTAGAAATCTGTGACATGAGAGTGGATACTGTAGTTTATCAGGATTCATGTGCAATACAAAATTCAGCGAAGGGAATGAACATGAGATGATTTCTTCTCATGATCATATTTTTGTTGATTCTCCATCTTAATATGATTTCAGGGGTAGAATGTTTTAAGTTTTCATTGTACATTGCTTAGCCATTAAGAAGTTCTTATTTATATCATATTGAAAATTGTTTCACGTTTAAAGCTGAAAGCTACCTGTCTCCTTTTCTGATCTCAAAAAATGTAAAATGATCGAGAATGCTATTGTGATAGCTACAAATAATATTTTGCTGAAAATGGAGAATAGGCATTAAAGGTTTATAATAAAAACACCAGACTGATCATTATACTTGTTGTTCTCAGTTGAATTTTCTAGAAGAAAACGTTCTAAATCAGAGGACATGGACAATGTACAGTCCAAACGCCGTCGATATATGGAAGAAGAATATGAAGCAGAATTTCAAGTAAAGATTACAGCCAAAGGAGATATTAACCAGAAGCTACAAAAGGTGCTATAGAATATAAGTTAAAAAGTCATATTAAGTAAATAGTGCCGTCTTTATTCTTTTAGGTTTTGAAATTATTCTGTATGTTACTGACATATTCAGATTTTTCACAGAAAAAGAAAACTTGAAGAAGTGGTTGAGTTTATTATCCTTAATAATTTAATTTTAAAATTCCTTCTAACCCTTTTCAAAAGCTACATATTTTTTAGGGTCCAGTAGTAATTATCGAAATGGAAGAGAGAGATGATTTCTTTTTATTTGCTTTAGTAACAAAACTGAATATTATTTTTCGCAATTTTTTTATCGAACTTTAGTGGACACATTAGAGTCTTATATGTTAACATTTTAATCATTATAATAAGTTGGTTTCATGGTTGTGAGTCCTTATATTCTAAAATCTTTGTTAAGTACTTTAGGCTTAGTGTTAAAGATGGTTGGGACAAGGCTTTAGAAGGAATAGGAGAAGAAAATATTTAGAGTATGATATGACTTTGGGACTCTCCTCCCCTTTCCCCCCTTATCTGCTAAACTAGAGGGTAGAACTGAAAATATACAGTATTTAATATATTTTTCAAAACATTTTCACAAATGTTAATGACAAATAACTTTTAAAGAGAAGAATATGAAACTCAGGTGAAATTAATTTTTCAAGGCCTTGTAGATTTAATGATGAAGTTATAAATAATCTAGGTTGTAGATCAATATTCTTCTACTAAGATACAGTATAAATATCCATACTAGAAAAAGGAATAGTTAGGCAATGAAAAAAGTGACTTTTTCCCCCCAGTCTTTTTAAATTGATTATGGTGGTAAGTAATGTTTATTTAATTTATAAAGCTGTTAGAAATATGAAAAAGCTTTGTGAAAGAATTTTGAATACTTTTGTGTGTACCAAGAGTTTGCTCCTCTAGAACAGTGTTATTCATGTATGGTCTGTGGACAGGCTCTCTGTATTCTTTTGTTAGGGGTCCATAATGAAATAAATATGGAAATTGTGAGTAGGCATTTAGAAATGTTTTATAGAAATTTTATAGTGCAGTGACTTCTTAGTGTCTCACAAAAATATTATCTGCAACAGATTAGAAATTTAAAAAAACTTGTCTTTTCCTTTAACTGGTTTCCTTTAAATCATGATAGAAGGCATGGGAAGAAAATATTAAAACTTTAGTTTCGAATTATTTTTAAATTTCACCCTCTGGAAATTTTCTCCTTTTTGCGTATGTTATTCTTTTGAGGTAGATATTATATATGTAGAAGTGGAGACTTCAGTAGATAACATTGTTTTATGGATGCCAGCATGTTTTTTCATTTAAACTAGTTAATACATTAGTACTATCTTATTAGTTTTTAAGAGTACTTACTGTTTGCTGCTTGCTGAAATGCCTTCTTTGCTATAACAAAAAATATGTATTTCTTTAGGTTGTACAGTGGTTGTTGGAAGAAAAATTGTGTGCACTACAGTGTGCTGTATTTGATAAGACTTTGGCAGAACTGAAAACACGAGTGGAAAAGATCGAATGTAACAAGAGGCACAAAACAGTTCTTACTGAACTACAGGTTTGTACACTGACTTGAATTGCATACCTGTGTCTTCATTTTTATAATTTATTTTTTTGTGATACATTTTTGAAGCTGACAACAAAGTACATTTAACTTCAGTATTTTAGAAGTAAGAGGAGCCTCTCTTGGTTTCTTCTAAAAGAGGTACCGTAAACTGGTTGGCTTAAACAATGGCAACATATTATCTTACAGTTCTGGAGGCTAAAAGCCCTAGAACAAGATGTTGCAGCATTGGTTTTTTTCTGAGGACTATGAGGAAGAATCTGTTTGATGTGTGTGCTCTAGTTTCTGGTGGTAACGTTTACTGACAGTCATTGGTGTTCCTTGCCTTGTAAAAGCATCACCCTGATCTCTGGCTTCTTCTTTACGTGGTGCCATACCTTTGTGTGTGTCTTTCCCAAATATCCCCTTTTTTACAAAGTTAACCAGTCATTTTGGATTGGAGCCCACCCCTCTTCTAGTATGATCTCATCTTAAAGAATTACTTCTGCAATGACCCTGTTTCTAAATAAGGTCACATTCTGAGATACTTGGGGTTCAGACATCAATATATGAGCTTTTGAGATACACAGTTCAACCCATAAAAGAGCCTCAGAAATCACCTAACTTAGTGCTTCTGGAATATTTTTTCAATCATCAAAGGAAGGCTAGCATCATATAGCATGTTATAAGTACTAAATACTTGTTGTAAGTTATTCTTTTTACATTAATCCATTTCCTGCCATGTTTTAAAGACATTAGTTTATTAATCTATATTGATAATTACTACTTTCCATTTTTTGTTAGTTATTTATTACTATATAGTGCCAGAACTTCTCATCAGCTGAAATGAGCCCATGATAACATGCTGTAGTGATCCATTTTATCCCCAAACTAAGAAGTTGGAACTTTTTTTCGGTCCATTCATTTTGTCATATGTAAATGTGTGGTTTCTATTAGGCTATCTGAAATATGAGCACAGTTTACAGGTGCTGAGTTGCAAAACACTTATAAAGGCTCATTTTACAAATGAGGGAAAAGTGGCACCTGAAAATAAAGTCACTGTTTCCCAATTATAAAACAGATTGCAACCAAATGAGACTAGAATTTATGGATTATATTTCTCAGCCTAAAAATTTTCTTGGTTTCATATTGTTAATTTGTTTGAATTAAAACCTTTTTATTAATAATAAGGTATTTTATAGTAATTCTGTAATGTACTGTTTAGAACAACACTTGTCCTGTTTCTATTCTTTAGCAGGTCTTTCTATAGCAATAGTGTTGTCTAATTGTTAAACTTAATTTACTACTACTGTTGAGAAATTTGAGTTAGAACTTGAAAATGTTTGAAAAATTTAAAAAGTAATTTAATATCATTCATTGTTTCTCATCAGTCCCATGGCTACCATTATGATTTTGTTTAAAACCTGAAATTTTGGCTTCTGGTTTTTCATGTAAGGTACAAGTCTGGATCCCTTAACATTTAATAAACCTTTACACATGTATGTTTCTTTGTTGCCTAGAATATGAATCTTTCTAACACCAAACCAATCTTTTCTCCCACAAATAAACCCCCCTTCCCATTGTTCTTCTTACTTACAATTCTTGGAATTCTTGGAAAATTCGTCAGGGAATGTCATTCCATTGTTCCTCTTACTAACAGTTTTTGAGTTCTTAGAAACTGATTCCTTTCAGTCCTTTCACCTATACACTGAATTGCCAAATTACAACTTTTTTATTTCTTATAAAAGTCTATCTTTTGCTTCATCTTTTCACAAGGCCATCACTACTCAAATCCTTAATTAGAGTAGTAGCCTTTTACATGACAACTCTGGTACTACTTTTAGTACTTGTTGGTCCTTCCCAATCATTGCACTCATTTTTTTTAAATACTGCTTATTTCAATCTCCTTAGTGTAATCCAGGTTCCTCAGTTGTGAACCAGTTTAAGTCAGCATTCATTTTCTGACTCTCCTAGTTTTTGATACACTTTCCTTATGCCTACCAGTTGCTTCACTGTCCTACAAAGTATCAGCGTTCATGTCTTTTTATATCAGGCTTTTGGCTTTATATTGTTTCTCCTATTCACTCTCTCATAATGATTCACCCTTATCATGGCAATTATTTAATTTTACTAATAAGCCCAATTTAGTTCCCATCTCTTTCTATGTTCTGATACTTAATTTTTATGAAAGTAAAATTTAATGAACAAAATAACTTTTTAAAACATAGAATTCAGTGTCATTTAGTATATTCACATTGTCGTGAGACTATCATTTCTGTCTAGTTCCAAAACATATTCATCCACCCAAAAGAAAACCATGTGCTAATTAAATAGTCATTCCCCATTTCCCCCTCCCCCTAGCCCTTGGCAAAATATTACTCTGCTTTTTGCCTCTCTTGATTTACCTATTCTGCATATTTTATATGAACAGAATCATACAATATGTGAACTTTTGTGTCTGGCCTCATTCTTTTAGCCTAATGTTTTTGAGGTTCACGTACATTGTAGCATATATCAGAACCACATTCCATTTGATAGCTAAGTAATACTTATATTTGTATACTATTGAAGATATTCATATACTATTAAAACTAAGTAGGTATTAATTAAACATGTTAAGCGTAATACCTAATGTAATCACTAAGGAAAAAACTAAAATACATATTGTATAGATATGTATAATATGATAGAGATACACATACTATTTTGTTTATGAATTCCTCCATTGATGAGCATTTGTTTTGTTCTTCCCTTTTAGATATTGTGGCTAGTGCTGCTGTGAACATTCATACATTACATCTGCTTGTTTAAGGACATGTTTTTACATCTTTTGTGCATATACCTATGTGTTGAGTTGTTGAATTGTGGGTAATATGGTAATTCTTTGTTTAACTTATTGAAGAACTACTTAACTGTTTTCCGGAGCAGCTAACCCATTTACATTCCCTTGGGCAAGTGTGAGGGTTCCATTTCTCCACATCTTTGCCAACACTTGTTATTTTCATTTTGTTTTGTTTTGTTTTGTTTTGTTTTGTTTTGTTTTGTTTTGTTTTTGAAATAATATTCAAGTGGAGTTATCAGGTGATATTTGTTATATTATATGCACTTGTTTCCTAATGTTGTGTTTCTACCTTTGTGGAGGCATTTATCCATGTGCAACAAGTTGTATTTGCTATTGCACAAGTGCCTCCTTGTTCAGTAAGTAGGAAATCAAGAACTATTTGATTGGACTTTGGTCAAGATAGCAGAGTAGGTAAACATTGTGATCATTTCCTGTCCTGACCATATTATAGAACAACCACCCTTGAGAACCACCTGAAGACTAGAACTCTTATAACACTTATAACTTTTCCGGAGCAGCTAACCCATTTACATTCCCTTGGGCAAGTGTGAGGGTTCCATTTCTCCACATCTTTGCCAACACTTGTTATTTTCATTTTGTTTTGTTTTGTTTTGTTTTGTTTTGTTTTGTTTTGTTTTGTTTTGTTTTTGAAATAATATTCAAGTGGAGTTATCAGGTGATATTTGTTATAATCATTGCACTTGTTTCCTAATGTTGTGTTTCTACCTTTGTGGAGGCATTTATCCATGTGCAACAAGTTGTATTTGCTATTGCACAAGTGCCTCCTTGTTCAGTAAGTAGGAAATCAAGAACTATTTGATTGGACTTTGGTCAAGATAGCAGAGTAGGTAAACATTGTGATCATTTCCTGTCCTGACCATATTATAGAACAACCACCCTTGAGAACCACCTGAAGACTAGAACTCTTATAACTAAGGACATAAAGAAGCCACGTCAAAACTTGTAGGATTCCTCTACGGCCATGCCACCTTGAACAAGCCCAATCCCGTCTGATCTCAGAAGCTAAGCCGGGTCAGGCCTGGTTAGTACTTGGATGGGAGATCACCTAGGAAGACCAGGTGCCATAGGCGTAAATAAAATTAAAAAAATAAGGGATTATAAGATGACAAGATCCTTGCAATCTTTGAGGTCAACCAAGGGTTGCCTTGCCTAAAAAAAAAAAAACTGGTAGGAGGAGTAGAGACTCAAAACAGTTGGTCCCACACCCATGTGTGGCAGTTAAAATTTGGAGGGATATCTCAGCTGCAGAGGTACTCTCTGAGGAACGAGGGGTCCAAGCCCCACACTGGGCTCCCTATCCCAACCACAAGTACTGGGAGTCCCCACAACATCTGCCTGTGAAAATCAGCGGGGATTCTGTTAAGTTGAGATAGAGGGCTGCTGGAATCCCAAGCATTCCTCTTAAAGGGCCTGTGCATGGACTTACTCACTGATGGATATAATTGCTCTGGACAGTAGCTCGAGTGCCAGAGACGTATGGGAAGGAACTGAATTGTCTGGCTTCAGGGCGAGGGATGGAGGGGCAGTTCTTTCTGCCATTTTGTTCCTTTGCAGAGCTCTCCCCTAACCCAGCCTGCAAGTGCAGGTGGGCACCAAATCTGACTCTCCACCCAGCAAGGCTATTCTTTAGAATCAAAGGAGAGATAAAGAGCTTTCCAGACAAGAAAAAGCTAAAGAGGTTCACCACCATCAAACCAGTATTACAAGAAATGTTGAAGAGATGTCTTTAAAAAGAACAAAAAAAGATTGGAAATAACTGGTAACAGCTACATATCTGTCAACAATTACTTCATATGTAAATGGATTAAATATTCCAATCAAAAGACTTAGGGTAGCTGAATGGGTAAGAGAACATGACCCATACATATGCTGCCTACAAGAGACCCACTTCATATCGAAAAACTTGCACAGCCTGAAAGTAGAGAATTGGAAAAAGATATTTCATGAAAATGGAAATGAAGAAAAAGCTGGGGTAGCAATTATCAGACAATATAGATTTCAAACTGAAGAGTGTAACAAGAGAGAACATGGGGCATTAAAAGTAAAACTACCATATGACCCAGCAGTCCCACTTCTGAGTATTTATTTGGAGAAATCCAAAACACTTATTCAAAAAGATGCATCCCCGTGTTCATTGCAACATTATTTACCATAGCCAAGATATGGAAGCAACTTCAGTGCCCATCACATGATTGGATAAAGAGGTGGTATATATATATACAATGGACTATTACTTGGCCATTAAAAGAACGAAATCTTGCCACATGCAACAACATGGATGGACCTAGAGGATATTATGCTAAGTGAAATAAATCAGACAGGGAAAGACAAATACCATGTGATTTCACTTAAATGTGGAATCTAAAAACAATATGAATGAACAGACAACAGAAATAAGCTCATAGATACAGAGAACAAACTGATGGTTGCTAGGTGGGTGGAGTATTGTGGGGGTAGGTGAAAAGGGAGAAGGGATTAAGAAGTACAAGTTGGTAGTAACAAAATAGTCATGGGGATATAGACTACAACTTAGGGAATATAGTCATTAATATTGTAATAACTATGGTGTCGGGGTTACTATATCAGGGGGCTCCCTTCATATTGGGGGAAAACATCATAAGTTATATAAATGTCTAACTGCTATGTTGTATACCTGAAGCTAATAGAATATTGAATGTCAACTGTAATTGAAAGAAAAAAAGATTTTAAAGCTATTCGATTGTCCAAAATTACACTAGCTAAGTCATATGATTGTTGGGCTGATATATAGCTTTAGCTGTAGACTTGGCTAGCTCTCCTAATGTTAGGGAGAGATTTCTGACCACACATTCATTGCCACTTACTCCTACCCAAGGGAAGAAAGCTTTCTCTATGTAAGCAAACCGGGAGTCACATGTACCTCCTGCACGTTCCCATTTAAGGTGTCTATGGAGATTTAGTGGGGTGGACCAATGGGAGCCTTCTCATTTGTTATGGATGTTAAAAGGGACAGCGAAATGTCCAGTAAATGTTAACCTCCAATTCACTAGCTCTCTAAACATTCATATGCCCAGGAGAAATGCCATCCACCTCATACAAAAATGAAACGAGATGGAGCTCAGAAGATCCAGCTAAGGCTTAGGTTATTGATGGCATCATTAGCTGGAATTTCTTGATTGACCTTTTCAAGCCAGGGTCAGAGAGTTGGGTGACATTCTATGAGGAACTGTCTCAACATAAAGGAATCTTTCTAAAAGTAAGGAGATATTAGCCTGTTTGTGTTTTCCTTGAGTGAAGAGGGACAGGTGTATTCAGATAAGGATAGGTAGGTATGTGGGAAGTTGAAGACTGCATGATTGGTAAATGTGAAGGTGTTCAGTTGACCTTTATGGTTATGGCTGGGGCAAGGTTGAAACAAGATATGGGAACACCTGGCCACAGTAATTTAACCTGATAGGTAATATCCATGGACTTATGGGTATAATTGACAGTGGCTTTTGTTATTGTAGAAAGATTGGTTACAGGGATCAGTTACAGATAGGTGAAAGATCCAACAATAAGAAATGTTTCCCCTTTTGCAGTAGATTGGGAAATGCTAATAAGAGTGTTGTCTTTCTAAGAAAGAGAGGGAGAAAGTAAACAACAGGGAGAAAAAGGTACATGGGCCTGGTCCTGTCATCTTGGGAAATCTGTTGTCTGCATCAGTTCTAAAAATCTTTATTTTCAGGTCATCAGTTGGTGTGCAGGTCCAGTCAGGGTTTGGTGCTTTTTTTAGGTGTGACACATGAATCCAAAAGTCTATTCCTTGGCATGTGGAGGCACAGGGGTTGGTTAGCAGTATTTGATGGGACCTTCCTAACTTGTTGAAGAGAGTATTTCTGGAGATGTCTTTTCCAATAGGTGAAATCTCTGGGTTGCAAAGTGTGATGTTTAAAGTCTTGGTCTCCCTAAATTGTGCAATGGAAAGATTGTTCTTTTAAAGCATGGTTATCTTTGACAAAAGTAATAAGGCATTTACAGTATTAGAATATAATTCCTTTCATCAGCTGTGGATCAAAAGAGACAGGAGTTGGGTACATAGGGCATACTGAAACTATATGAAAGAGTGAGAGTTTCTGGGTTCCAAAAGATGTAGACCTGAGATTTAGAAGGACTAAATTGGCAGTACTGGTATTTGTAGTGTCTCTACAAATTTTGCCAATTGACTCTTAATGATGCACACTCGAGAATACAGTATTCCATTGGTTATGATTTATAAAATGCCATTTCAAGTAGTTTAAATTTAAATAGTTTTTTTCACTTTTTCCTTTCAGTCTCTCTTCCTCCTCCCCCTACAAGAAGTAAATCTGTGGCTGTCTAATCCAAGAGTCAGTTTGGACTAAGGGATACCAACCATGTGTCTATTTATTCACTAGCTTTTTTGAGTACTAATATTTTGTTTTTAGGCCAAACTTGATACATGATTAATTCTTTTTTTCAGACAAAGTTATTTCCTGAGTGGTTTTTTGGTACATATGCAAAGAAATTTCTAGTTTGCCTGGTTTGCTAAACAAGGCCCGATATCTCTGAATCTCAATAGTTATGAGATTTATTATAACAGCTACCATTATACCATTATTAAGAAATTATAGATATGCTTAAGTAGAAACCAAGAGCAAATGAAATAGAAGTAGTAATTATGGACATAATAGTGGAATATGACTTTCCTGAACTACCAAAAAAATACTTTATAGAGTTTTAAAAAATATCTCACAGAATATTTGCCAAAATAGAGACCCAGTCTTAGACACATTAAAACAATAACAAAAAGACTGTTCTTCGATTTCTTTTTTATTATTAAATGACAGAAGACAGTAAGTCTGTCCAAATTTTGGTTTTCTTTCTCTGCTAGTAGTTTAATTTTTTAAGTGATAAAATCTTTTTTTTTTTTTTACAAAGTATTTGAATACTGTAGATGTACATGACATGAAAGTAAAGTCCTTCTTTTTACTTTCTCCTTCATTGCCTGCCAGTCCTAGTCTCTAGAGGTAACAACTTTTACTTTGGTATTTATCCTTCTAGACCTTTCCCCATATATAACATATACAAAGGGATTTTTAAACTTCTTTTTAAGTAAAAATAGTATAAGAATACTATACATTCTATGCAATTTATAGAATACCCACCAGATAGTCTAAAGAAAAAAAATCAAAGACAAAAATACCTTCTCATCTTTCTTGAAAAAATTACTTGAAATATTTTAGTCACAGAAAAGTAAATCTATATTAAGAATATAAAATTATACCATGTGTCCTTGAGTGTTAATGTTATTAATAACATAAATAAATAAATCCTGACGAAAATCTTCATGTTGAGAATCATAGGTGATTGATTGCCTAGGCCCTATCGATTGACTTAAATATGTTAGATTTGTGGTCTCCTTTAGAAATGACTACTTTCTGAAAGAAACTTTAAAAATAATTAATGCTGTTTTCTTTTTATGATATATTTATATTGGATAAAAGAAATTCTGTGGAGGAGCTCTTAGGCAGGCCTCATGAACACACTCAGTTTAGCTTACAATTTTTGAAAATAACGTTTAACTAAATGGCAGCAGCAGTAACAACAAAAATAATTGAATATCACATCTATGCCATAGTAAAAGATTTAAAGGAAATATAAACAAAATACTAATGTGGTTATGTATAGTTTTCTATTGTTTTTTTCCTATCATTTCTCAAATTTCTATGAATATGTATTTGGACAAAATATGTGATTAGACAGTTTGTACATAAGTACATATGATTAATAAAATATTTTACTGACAAATTTAACATTAACAAGATAACATTTTTGTCAGATTATTAAAAACTAACAATATGAAATTAAATGTTTCAAAGAGTAATATGAGTAGTCATACACTGTTATTGAAAGAGTGAATTTTAGCAGTCTTTCTGAAAAACATTTAGACAAAAGCCTTAAAAGTATACTCTGTCTCAGGAATTCCACCTCTGTGAATGTTGCCTAAGGAAATTATCTGAACGCAGTTATTAATTGCAATGTTATTTGACTACAGCAGTTATTGGGAAACATTGACATGTCCACTAGGAAAGTGGTATTTTTATGATTCAATACCTATAATGATATATATCCATATAGATATAAATGTATAAAATCAATGGTATATAGTGATTCAATATATTATACATGTTACCCATAAATAGTATTGGCAAGGAATCTTTCTTATATAACTTACAAATACGCTTACTGTATAATTCTCTATAAGAAAGTCGTGTTTGGTTACAACTATGTTAAAAAACAAGCATAAATATTCAGAAATGTACTGGTTTGTGCGCAAACATCCACAGTTCTAGGAAGAAAAAAAGCTAACCTTCAGAAAACAAGTGTTTACCTGTGGGTATTAAGTTCAAGAGCCATTTTAATTTTCATTATGATTTTCTGTATTTTCCAAATATATATTTTACAATCAGCTTGCTTGCTTGCTTTATTTATTTGTTTGTTTGTTTATATTTATTTGCCGTTAACTATCTTTTAAGGATCCTCTTACTCTGGGTTTCTTGTTTTGTATGCATGGGTTCCTTTTTAATACCATAATGCCATTTCTGTTTCCTTTTTGCTTTTTTTAGGCCAAGATAGCCAGGTTAACCAAACGCTTTGGAGCAGCCAAAGAAGATCTTAAGAAAAGACAAGAAGTAAGAATTTCTGTTCTTGCATAATTAACATTTAGCTCTAAGTGGTAACCTTAAGAAATGCTGAGTTAGGAGGGAACTTCTTTATTACAGATTTGGATTTTGCTTTCGTACTCTGCACTTCTAATATGTTGTTTCTGATGTTACGGCTCTAGAACCAATTATTAACCCTTTTCTAATCTTCAGTTACTATTTCATATTTCAGTACTTATATTAATCATTTTTATGTTATGGCATTCTTGAAGCTGTATTTTCTATCCATCTTTAAATTTTGTTCGGGGGATTTGTCTTACCATGCTTCTTTCTTTTTACATTCTTGTCAGTGTCCTAGTCTAGACTTTTAACATTTCCTCCAAAGTATTTTAGTATTCTGCAGCCTCTAGTAGTAGCCCTCTTCTCCTCTGCATTTCTTACCCTATGTAGTTAAGTCCAAACATCATAGCATAGCATAAACTTTAGTCTATAGTCTAGTTTCGCTTTTTATTGTTTCCTTACTCTATAGTACATAATTTTAATTTAGCATTTGTATATTGCAGTATAGTTTTCAGTTGAATTTCTTTTTCTTCCTCTTGAATTTTTTCCCATTTGAACAGGTTACATTTCTTTGTGTCTTGATAGCTCCATTGTCTGGGACATATTAATTGCCAATAATAAGCATTTCAGTAGTAATCATTATTCCTATAGGATTTTTAGATTCATTTTCATATTTTCTTTACTTGAGAAAAGTTTATTGTAATAGATGCACAGGAGGTTACAACAACACATAGTTGTACAGACTTCTATGAACCCTTCACCCAGCTTCCTCCAGTGGTGAAATGTTATATAATTGCAGTACAATATCCAAACCAAGGTACTGGTACAATTAGTTTATTATCTATTAGTTTATAGACCTTATCAGTTTTCACCAGTTCTTACATGAATTCATTTTGTGTGTGTGTGTGTGTGTGTGTGTGTGTGTGTGTGTGTGTGTGTGTGTGTGTGTGTGTGTGTGTGTGTGTGTGTGTGTGTGTGTGTGTGTGTGTGTGTGTGTAGTTCTACATAACTAGATATCATGTATAGATTTATATAACCCCACCACAAGATATAGAACTATTCCATCACCATAAAGGGACTCTCTCATGCTGCCCTTTTATAGTTTCAACCTTGCCTTGTCCCTCCACCCCTACCTACTCCTTGTCCCCTGACAATTACTAATCTGTTCTCCATCCCTATATTGTTTTTAGTTAACTTTTAAAACTCTGGTTTCTCCTCTTGAGCAAGTGACAGGTGGTTTTTATCTTTGTCCTACACAGACAAATCTCACCAACCCTCATTTGGCCATACCCAAAGATTTTTTTTTTTTTTATCATAGTTTTCTTCAATTATGTAATTCTCTGATTCTAAACTTCACTTTCTCAACTGTGTTTCTTTGTCATAATATAAAAATGAGCTTTTTTATTTCTTATATTAGAAACTTAGTGTAAACCCTTTTTTTAAAACAATTTATATTTGCTATGCTTGAAGTGAACGTAAGGCTTTGGAATTTTTTCATAATTTTGTACAGTATGAATTTCCATTTTTACTTTCAGCCTTGTATCTGAATTAAGAAACATGCTGCCCACTGTATACTTTTCCAGTGTTTGTGCATATCAAATTTGTTCCCAAATCTGTTTTTCAATTTTTGTTTGATTAGTGAAAGTGATAGGCAGAGACTTTAAGGAATAAAGATGATAATATTACAAATTTTGAAAGGCTTGTTTTGGAGAGCTGTATATAGTATGCAAACAAGGAACGAATACTATGTATTTCTTAAAGATTGGAAAAGATTAATTTGAACAATTAGGGAGTGTGGTGTTTAAAAGCAAAATATTAAGATGGTCTTCAATCTTTCACATTTTGTTGCTTCCTTAGTTAGCTGGTAGATAATGTCAATTTTAAATTTTAAAACTTGGACATCTTTCTACCCATTCTTGTTAATATTTTCTTCTCGTGAGAGATTTCTAGATATTTCAAGAATTTAGTTCCTTCATATCCCTGTATCTCTTTAATTATGGTATCTACTATAATCTTACATCTGTGTCGTCTTATGTTTTAAAAAAAGAAGAGACATAGAATGTTTGGAACTTTAGTTCTCCCCCTTATCAAAATAAATAAGCAAACAGTAGTACTTTAAATGCTTTTCTTCTAATTTAGACTTCCTCCTTGGTCCTTTGATATTAACCAGTTAAAAATAAACCCCACTATTCAAGTTTGTCTTAAAAGATTTTTTACTTTAATTTTTAAAAGAAGAGAAAACTGTCAGACAGTTTACTATTAAGACCACATTCATAATCTCATCTATTTTACTGCCTTATGACTGATATCTCTAACTTTCATCCTTTCTAGATCTTATTATAAAAGAAATGTCAATTAAATATTTAAAAAATTCTTTTCATTTTAATTGTAAAAACACATTACAGAATTTACCATTTATAATTCTACAGTTCAGTAGTATTGACTGTTAACATTGTTCTGTAACAGATCTCTAGAACTTTTTTATCTTGCATTTTGCAAAACTGAAACTGTACCCATGGAACAATAACTCCCATTTCTCTTTCCCCTTTACCTCTGGCAACCATCATTCTACTTTCTATTTATATGATTTTGACTACTCTAGACATCTTGTAAGTGAAATCATACAGTATTTTTTGTGTGTGTGATTGGCTTATTTCAGCATAATCTCTAGGTTCATCTATTTTGTAGCATGTGACAGGATTTTCTTCTTTTTTAAGGCTGAATAATATTCCATTGTATGTATATACCACATTTTCTTTATTCATTCATTCATTGATGGATATTTGTGCTGCTTTCATCTCCTGGCTCTTGTGAATAATGCTGCAGTGAACATCGATATGCAGATATCTCTTTGAGATCCTGGTTTCAAGTCTTTTGTATGAATACCAAGAAGCGAAATTCTATTTTTAGTTTTTTGAGGAGCCTCCATACCATTTTTTGTAGTGGTTACACCATTTTATGTGCCTACCAGGTGGGCACAAGGGTTCCAGTTTTTCCTCATCCTTGCCAAAACTTGTTTTCTGTTTTGTGATGATGGCTATCCTAATAGTGTGAGGTTGTATCTCATTGCTGTTTTGATTTACATTTCTTTAATGATCAGCGATATTGAGTATCTTTTCATATGCTTATTAGCCACTTTGCATATCTTTTGGGGAGATGTCTATTCTGGTCCTTTGCCCAGCTTTTAATCAGGTTACTTGTTTTTTAGTTGTTAACTTATTAGATATAATTTGCAATTATTTTCTCTCATTCCATAGTTTTCCTTTTCATTCTGTTGATTGTTACCTTTGATGTGAAGTTTTTAACTTTGATGTAATCTCCTTGGTCTATTTTTACTTTTGTTGCATGTACTTTTGATGTCATATCCAAGAAATCATTGCTAAATCCAGTGTCATGAATCTTTTCCCTTATGTTTTCTTCTAGTAATTTTATAGTTTTAGGCCTTACATTTAAGTCTTTAATCCATTTTGAATTAGTTTTTGTATATGGCATCATGGCCCATCTTGTTTTTTGCATTTGGATATTCGATTTTCACACCATTAGTTGAAAGACTGCCCTTTCCTCACTGTGTAGCCTTGACACCCTTGTCAAAAGATAATTTGACCAAATATGTGAGAGTTTATTTCTTAGCTTTCTATTCAGTTACATTCGTCTGTATGTTTGTCTTTATGCTAATGCCACACCGTTTTGATTACTGTAGCTTTGTAACATGTCTTGAAATCAGGAAATACAAAACTTCCAGTCTTGTTCTTCTTTTTCAAGATTGTTTTGGCAGTTCAAGGTCCCTCGAGATTTCATATGAATTTTATGTTTCTTTTTTCTATTTCTGCAAAAAAAATGACTTTGGGATTTTGATAGGGATTACATCGAAAATTCATCACTGAGTAGTATATATATTTTAACAATATTAAGTCTTTCAGTCCAGGAACATGGGATGTTTTTCCATTTATCTGTGTCTTTTATTTCTTTCAACAGTGTTTTATAGTTTTCAGTGTAAAAATCTTTTTTCTTGGTTAAGGTTACTCTTAAATATTTTGTTCTCTTTGATCATATGGTGATGTGATTATTTTTTAAATTTCTAAGATTGTTCATTGTTAGTTTGTAGAAATACAACTGGCTTTTGTGTCCTGATTTTCTATCCTGCAACATTGCTGAATTCATATATTAGTTTCAATATTTTTTTGTGTTGAATCTTTAGAATTTTCTAAATATAAGAAATTTCTAAATACAAGTATGTTATCAGCAAACAGATAATTTTACTCTTCCTTTCCAATTTGGCTGCCTTTTATATATTTTTTTTCTTGCTTAATATTTTGGCAAGGCCTTTCCAGTATCATGTTGAACAGAAATTGGTGAGGGTGGACAACTTTGCTTTGTTCCTCATTTTAGAGGAAAAGCTTTCATTTATTTACCATCGAGTATGATGTTAGCTATGGGCTTTTGATGTATATTTTGTTTTTATGTTGAGGTAGTTTCCCAATTTGTTGAGTGCTTTTATCATGAAAGGACGTTGAATTTGTCAAATGCTTTTCTTCAATAATTGAGATTATGTGGCTTTTTTTCTTTGTTCTGTTAATGTGGTATATTACATTGATTTTCATATGTTTGAGCCATCTTTGCATTCTGGGAATAAATCTCACTTTGTCATGGTGTATTATCCTTTAATATGTTGTTAAATTCAGTTTGATAACTTTTTTTGAGAATGTTTTATGTTTATATTCATGTCAAGCTATCCTGGCATTCCATGGATAAACCTCACTTGGTCATGTTGCAAAATCCTTTTAATGTGTTGGTGAACTTGGATTGCTAGTATTTTGTTGAGGTTTTTTGCATCTGTGTTTATCAGGGATATTAGCCTGTAGTTTTCTTTTGTTGAGGTGTCATATACCTTTGTATCAGTATAATGCTGTCCTCATAAAATAAGTTTGGAAGTGTTCTCTTCAATTTCTTGGAAGAGTTGAGAAAGACTGTTGTTAATTCTTTCAATGCAATGTCTGGTAGAGTTCTCCAGTGAAACCATCTGGTTCTTGGCTCTTTTTGTTGTTAGGATGTTTTTCATTACTGATTCAATTTCCCTAATTGTTTAGGTCCTTTCAGATTTTTTATTTCTTCTTGATTCAGTCTTGGTAGGTTGTATATTTCTAGGAATTTACTCATTTTTTTCTAGGTATCCAATTTGTTCACAGTAGTCTCTCATCCTTTAGTGGCATCAGTTGTAATTTATGATTTTATTTATTTATGTCTTCTCTCTTTTTCTTAGTTATCTAGGTAACTTTTGCCAATTTTGTTGATATTTTAAAATTCCAACTCTTAGTTTTGTTGATTTTTTTTTCCCCTATTTTATGTTTTCTATTTTGCAGTAATGTTATTCCCTTCCTTCTTACTTTGAGTTTAGTATAGTTTTTTCTTTTTCTCTCTTTTCGAAGTGTAAAGTTAGATTGGTGATTTTAGATCTTTCTTTATGTAAGCATTTAATGCAATAAACTTTCCTCTTGGTACTACTTTTGCTGCATTATTTTCCCCAAATATTTGGTAGGTTGTGTTTTGTTTTGTATTTGCCTCAAGATATTTTCTAATATCACTTGCGATTTTTTATTTTATCTGCTGGATTTTTAAGTGTTTTTAGATTTCCATATATTAGTGACTTGTCCATTTTCCTTTTGCTGTTAATTTCTACTTTTATTCAGACAAGATATTTGGTTTGATTTTTATCTTTTTAAATTTGTTAAGGCTCATTTTGTAACCTAATATGTGATCTGTCCTGGAGAATGTTCTGTGTGTGCTTGAAAAATTATATTCTTATGCGGTTGGTCTATATGGTCTGTTTGGTCTATATGGTCTATAGTGTTCATCTGCCGTTTCCTTAATGATTTTCTGTCTGAATTATGTCTACTATATAAAATATATTGAAGACTCCTACTATTATTGTGTTGCTATCTATTTCTCTTTCAGTTCTGTCAGTTTTTGCCTTATAGATTTGGGGGCTTTGGTGGTATGTGCATACATATTTATAAATGTTATATCTGGTTAATGATCCTTTTTATCACTATATAATGTCCTTCTTTGTCTATTGATTATTTTCTATTTGCCTTAGAGCTTCATTTATTGCTTCCTGTGTTTTGTTGACTTTTTTTGTAGTGACAATCATTTATTCCTTTCTCATTTCCTTTCGTGTATCTTTTATAAGTATTTCTCTGAGATAACCGTGGGGATTGCATTAACTATCGTAAAGTTACAACTGTTTTAAACTTGTAACGGCTTAGCTTCAGTCACATATAAGAACTCAACTTTACATCTTTACCTCACCACTTTGTTATTGATTTCATGCATTATATTTTTTTATATTATATATCTTTTAACCTAGATTTACAGTTATTTCTTATGTGTAAATTTTATACCACAATTAAATGTGACTTATGCACCAACTTTATAGTAATGCAAGATTCAGTATTTGTATATTTACTTTTACCAGAGAATTTTATATTGTGTTATGCTTTCTAGTTGCTGTTTTGTGTCATTTCGTTTTCACTTAAAGAATTCCTTTTAACATTTATTATATGGCAGATCTAATGGTGATGAATTCCCCCAGCTTTCTGTATCTGGGAAAGTCTTAATTTAACCTTCATTTTTTGAATGAAAATTTTGCTGGATATGATATTCTTGCTTAGCAGTCTTTTTTCTATCAGTGCTTTGAATGTATCATACTACTTCTTTGTGGCCTGCTAGATTTTGTTTTTTTCTAATTCTTTAAAGTGTAAAGTTAGGATGGTGATTTGAGATCTTTCTTTGAGAAAACCACAGATAATCTTATGGGAGCAAAACCTCGAATATGATGGGTCACTTTTCTATTGCTGCTTTCAAAATTCTTTATCAGCAACTTTGACAACTTGAGTATGTTTCTCAGTATAGGTCTCTTTGAGTTAACCTAGTTGGAGTTTTTGAGCTTTTGAATTTGTATGTCAATTTAATTCTTCAGATTTGGGAATTTTTTAGCCATTATTCAAGTAGGTTTTGTGCTCATTTTATCTCTTCTCATTTTGTGATTCTCATATGGATGTATCAGTTCATTAGATGGTGTCTCAAAAATCTCCTAGGATGTCTTCATTTTTAATTATTTTTTCTTTTTGCTCCTGTCTGTAACTTGATCATTTGAAATGACCTTCCTTCAAGTTCACTGATTCCTTATTCTGCTTGATACAGTCTGGTATTGATCTCCTTTAGTTGAATTTTTCATTTCAGTTGTTGTATTCTTCAGCTCCAGTATCCTGTGTGTTCTATTTTAAAGTTTCTATCTCTTCATTAGTATTCTCATTTTCTTTGTGCATCATTTTCCTAATTTCATTTAGTTTTCTATTTATGTTCTCTTTTATTTCATTGAGCATCTTAATACCATTCTTTTGTTTGTTCATTTGGAATTTCTCGTTAGGTAATATACAAATCTATGTTTTTAGGGATTTATTTCTTTGATTGGGCCATATTTCCCTATTTCTTTGTATGTCTAGTTCTCTTTTATTGAAATGTAGGCATTTGACAAAACAGCCACCTCTCCCTATCTTTTCAGAATATCTTTGTACGGAGGAAGACCTTTGCTCATGAACCCAGGTGGATACTCTGGGGCCTCTTAAACCTTTCTAGAAGTGCATCTTCTCAGAACTTGTGCATGTAATTTGCCATCTGAAGCAATTCGTCTGTTTCTACTTGGGAGCTCCCCTCCAACCCTTCATGTGTTCCATATTGCAGTCTTGGTTTTGTAAGCCATAGTTTTGGAGATCTCCCTGCTGTCTGTCTGTGTTACTATAATTTTTTTGTTCCCATACCAAGCTGAAAGGCTCACCTTTGTTCTCATCCATCCTCCAGATATTTAGTGTGTGCCACTTATCCAAGTTAAGGGAGACAGAAACCAGTGCCTCGGGCAGTACCCCAAAAAGCCTAATGTGTTACATGCAGGTTCCTTTTTTTCTTTCCTGAAAGAAAAGTTGCAGGTGGGGAATTTTCTCTTGATTGTGGCACACTGTGTTGAGAAGAGGATAGAGAATGATGGGTAAGTGCAGTAGACCTTCTTACCCACTATAGTGTACTTCTTCATGGCTTTGCTTGGAGTGCTGTAACTCTCATCTGGTTTCTGGAATTCTCACAAAAGAAATTTGGACTGTATATTGTTAAGTCATTGTCTGAGGGGAGAAGGATATGGGGCTTCCTAGTCTGCCATCTTGCTGATGTCACTATACTGTAGTGTTTAAGGTCCTGTATGTGATAACTCCATACTACGTTCTAATCTAGTATTGTTTATTATGCTTTTATTCTTCCTTTTTCTGTTTTTCTTCCCGAAATGTTCTTTACCTTCATCTTAACCATTTTGAATGTACTAATTACTCAAAGACTTATATGAAGATACATTCCTTTCCAAAAAAACTTTTTAAAACAGTTTTTCCATTTGCTCTACACTGTTATACTTTAATTTTCTTTTCTATTTGTTTGAAATGTCTATTGTATCTATAGTCAGATGTTAAGCACCTTTAGAGCAGTTTGCCTTAATTCTATCTTTTGTCTGTTCTACACACATAACTAGTACAATGCTATATTGGTTGGTAAAAATTATTCTTTTATCCTATAAGAAGCAGCAGGATGTATTTGTGTTTGAGAAGGGAAGAGTGATTAGTGGCATCTGCTTGATGTGATCCTAAGCACTTAATCGCCTTTGGTTTAACTTCTATTATTGTTACACTTAATTAAGTCTTGAGCAGAGTTATTTTGTTTTTCTCAATTTAAGAAATCAGTGACAATAATGTCATTATTGATGGAGACCAAAATAATGGTAATTAACATGTAGATTAGAATTTTATTTCTATATTCCTTGTTTTTTGGGGGGAAAGGCTGAAATTAGTTGATACTTAAGTTTAGAATTGAGACATTTTTATGAAATTTTGTCACATAGTAGCAAGTAGTCCTTTTTAAAACAACAATTGTAAAAATAATTTCGATTCAAGAGTTTTGATTTGTGGCCTAAGACGATGCTATTTAATTGGTAATCCACTACTCCTGGGTAAGAATAAATATATATCCTGTTTATTGAGTTTCTGATGGTAGTCTGGTGCCTGCTATGCCTAGTATACAGTAGGCATTCACTAAATATTTATTGAATGTGACTAGTTTGTTATTTATATTTTTTATTAATGTTTCTTGAACCCTTACAGCATGTAAGCCATTTTCATATTCTTTATTTACTCATCTCAGAAAACTGAGATATAGAAATTATTATATTCATATTTCATATGATAAGCAGTTGTTTTAATTGGTTATGTAATTTCCTTAAGGCACAACTAATAAGTAGTAATTCCAAGATTCAAATTCTTATCTCAACCAGCAGTAGTTTCCATTGTATTATAGAAGTAACATAATACATTGACAGAGCATTTAAGGTCTTATTATTAAAGCTTTGTTGTATTTTGGGTTTTATTTTACCTTGGTATTTTTTTCTCCCTCAGAATCCATCAAACCCACCTGTACCTGTATCACCAGGAAAGTCTGTAGTTGATGTCAACAGCAGTAACAATGTGCCCTACAGGTGAGAATTATAAAGAGTCTTGTCAAGTTTTCTTTTTTTTTTTTTTATCGTCCCCTCTTTTTCTTTTTGTTTGTTTTCAGTTCAATTTATTTAAACTAAAAATGAAAGACAAAATATAGTTCACCCGTTTCTCCCACTCTGCAACCCTCACCTCTAGAAACCACCAGTCTGTTCTGTTTGTTTGTTTTTTAGATTCCATATTTGTCTTTTTCTCTGTTTGACTAATTTCACTTAGCAGAGTGCCCTCAGGTTCCATCCATGTTGGTGCATGGGAAGATTTTATTCTTTTTTATGGCTAATGTTACGTGTGTGTGCGCGCGTGTGTGTGCATGTGGGTAAGTTTTTTTATACATTTATCCATAGATGGACATTTAGGTTGTTTCCATATCTTGGCTATTCTTAATAATGATGTAATGAAAATGGGGGTGCATATAGATATCTTTTCTAATTAGTCTTTTCATTTTCTTCAAATAAATATCCAGAAGTGGAATTGCTAGATCACATGATAGTTTTATTTTTAATTTTTTGAGGAAGCTTCATACTGTTTTCCATAGTGGCTGCACCAAATTACATTTCTACCAGTAGTGTACAAGAGTTTTAAAATAACAAATCTTTCAAGTTTTTAAATAAGAGAACAAGGTTCTAATTTTATTTTGCGGAAGAATCCTAGAATGTAATCTTACATATTTACATAGAGATAAATGTTTAGTATATTGGATTAACTGTAGTTTCTTTTTTGCTATGTGGTAATTGTTCACCTGTAGCTATTGGTTTTGCTAATTTATCTAAGGCTTTCTCTGGTGATTGCAGATTTCTTTAATCACTTGTGCTAAGTAGTATTCTCTCAAGTAATTGAAATGTTTTAGTCAGGGATGATAAAAACTAATGTCTACAGATACTAGGATATACATATAGTTTTCAGGTAAAAATATTAAGGACATTAGAATATAAGAGGCAGTCTCCTCCCTAATGCCATAGACCCCCGGCATTCTGAAGTCTGTGCGCTAGCTTTGCCTGAATACCCTCACTCGCGGTTTAGCGCTACATATAGTACCCAAGTCCAGCCACCCTTTTTCCCTATGGGCACTGCTTTCTCCGTACATAAATTGATGTTCCTCAGAATGGCATATCCGTTACTATTTGTATGTATTTCATAGAAATGCTGGCACAGTGAGACAGTTGCTGGAATTCAAAAGAAATGTAAGTGAGAGTGCACCGCCATCCTTTCAGACCTCTGTGAATACAGGTAATAATATTCTTTAACACTGAAATACATTTTCTTAGTAATTGAAGGCTTTGGTTTTCTTTTCACATTCTTTTGAGGTTGAAATATACTTAGAATCTGAGCATATCAATCTAAAATTGAGTGCTAAGTGTAAAATTTTATTTAAACATTAAGGTTTACACATATGCATAAAAATATAAAAATTCTAATGTTTAGTGGTTCTCAAACTTTCAGTCACCATATCCCTGTATAATCTTAAAAAATTATTAAGAACCCCAAAAAGCTTTTGTTTATGTGAGTTGTATTAATTGATACTTACTTTAGTAAAAATTGAAATAAAAATTTTTAATGTTTATTCATTTAAAAACAATAAACCCATATCATGTAAGACAAATCACGTTCTAATGAAAAAATAACTTTTCAAAGCTTGAAAAGTGTGTCTTACATTTTTATAAAGTTCTTCTGTGTCTCACTTAAAATATTAAGATGGCCTGTGAAAGGTGGATTCTCATACCTATTATCTGCATTCAGTCTGTTGCAATTTGTTGTTTTGACTGAAGCATATGAAGAAAATTCAGCCTCATACAAATATGTAGTTGGAAAAGGGTTAATTCTTTTAGAGAATTATGGGTATTTTTTTTGACATAGTCAAATAGTAGTTTATTAAAGGTTAGTTGCAAAATGGACTCTAAAACCATACCAATGAACTTTTCTTTTTCATTAAAATCCATTTGTCTGTCTTGTACTTGGATAGATCTTTTACTAATACCATTCACTGATCATTTGGAAAATGTTCATTGACTTATCTGAATCGTCCAAATGTTGACACATCTCATTAATAATTTTTTAAAATTGCATTAATTTATTTGACTGTTATTCTCAGAATGCTTTTTAAAGATTTGGGAAGCTGTCACGCTGTCAGTGGCAGATGAAAGTTTTTCTAAAGTTTTAATTTTGGTTTTGGTTTTTAAAATTCAGATTTTATTATTGCCAATAAATACTGTTGATTGTTCTCTTTGAAATGACTACCTTACTTGGTTTATTTTCAAAAAATGATTTGCCAGATACCCAAGTGTGAATAACCACAGTATGTCTGTAAGTCATCCTTTCAAGTAAAAATGGACTTCCATGAAAAAGGGTGTTAGCTTATAGCTCAAACAATCGTACAGGTACTTTTCCTTCAGCCAGCCATCTTACTTTGGCATGCAGACGTAATTATGTATTCTTCCTATTTCTTCACACAGAATTTTAAGAAGACCTGTACTCAATGGCTGAGATTTTTAAAAATTAATATTTACTACTTTATCATGGACATTGTCAAGTGAAACAGTTGTTTTTGTTTTTTACTGTGAACATCTTTTGATAAAGAATGCAGTGACAGTTTGGTACCACTATCTTGATTTTTGTACTAAGGCATCGGAAGTTTTACTGACCATTGCTTTTTGCTCTGTCAGTGCAAATATCCACATGGTGAAAAAGTCAAGTAATGTTTTATTATTGTTCTAAAAATAATTTTAACATTGCAAGCTCCCTGAAAGGGTCTCAGAAACCCCCAGGTGTCCCTTGGGTCACACCTTGAGAATTGCTACTCTGGTGTTTTATGATTTTCAAAGAAAGACTGCATATCAAGGAGAAAGAAACTTGGTCATCTATTTCAAACCTGTTCAAATGAGAATAAACAAATAGTTGAAACAAGATTACTATAAAACTCCAGTGACCAGGATTTTGGTTTTCTCCAGTCTTTAGTATCACCTCCCTTATTTCTCAGTTCATCTCCCATCTTCACTCTGCTATTTTCCATATCATATAATGTCAATAGAGTATCAATACAGGCAGGCTTCCCTCTCTAGATCCTCTCCCAGGCAATTCAATACAACTTGATCCATAGATGCAGGTTTCACATGGTCCAAATGATAAAATACATGACCAGGTTTACCTACTCTTCACTAATAGTGACAACTCTTACTAGATTTTCTATTTGAGCATATATATTGCCAGTGTCCTAAAGCATTTATAATGTTTTTAGTGTAATTTTTAAAATATCTATACAATTTTTCTAAGTTTTCAGTGTTTTGACTTTTTCCAATCACTCTAAAGTGATTATAGTAGTTTTCAGAGACTGTTTTGATAATGAGAAAGCAGTTCTCCATATTAATTATAACTCATGTGATATTTTTATGAACGTTTCAACAGATGCAAAAATAATTCTACAAATTTAATTTTAAGAATTTCAAGAATTTACATCTGGAAAAAAATAATTATGAAGGATTTTACCTACTATAATGTATTAAATTTGTATTATTATATTATCTTAGCTAATAAATGAAGATAGCCGTTTAAACTGAGACTTCTTTTTTCTTTCCATAGTATCTTCAACCAGTCTTGTCACTCCTCAAACAGTTGTCAGTAGTCAACCTAAATTGCAGACTCCAGTGACTTCGGGTTCTCTGACAGCAACGTCAATTCTTCCTGCACCCAACACAGCCACTGTAGTTGCTACTACCCAGGTGCCTACTGGAAATCCCCAACCTACAATCTCTTTACAACCTTTACCAGTGATTTTGCATGTACCTGTTGCAGTATCATCCCAGCCTCAGCTCCTACAGAGCCATCCAGGGACTTTAGTGACCAACCAACCATCTGGCAACGTTGAATTCATTTCTGTACAAAGCCCACCTGCAGTGAGTGGTCTTACCAAAAATCCAGTATCCTTGCCATCCTTGCCAAACCCCACTAAACCAAACAACGCTCCTTCTGTGCCCAGTTCTAGTATTCAAAGGAACTCTCCTGCCAGTGCTGCACCATTAGGAACAACACTTGCTGTACAGGCTGTTCCAACAGCACACTCTATTGTACAAGCCACGAGGACTTCTTTACCCACAGTAGGCCCATCCGGACTCTATAGTCCATCAAATAATCGTGGTCCTATACAGATGAAAATTCCGATTTCTGCTTTTAGTACTTCATCTCCCTCAGAACAGAACAGCACTACTACCCCAAGAATTGGTGAGTCACTATGTAGGTTTAATAATAGAAATGCAAGCGTATTAATGGCCTATATAGAATTCGTGAGTGTGTTTGTGCTTGTGTGTGCGTGTGTGTAGAAAGGCTAGCATTATTGGGAAAACAGTAAATAGAATATCCTGGAGATTATTTTGAGTAAGTTTTTAGTTAGGTAAGAAATGATGTTGTTAAAATGGAATTTGAGAGAGAGTGTATATGAGTCAGAAGTTAGCATTTGTAATTTATCTTTTAGGAGTTTTCCTAATTGGTGAATTTTTCATTTAGGCTCTGTGGCGAGCATTACAAATTACTTTTATAATACATTTGCCAGGAATATCTGAATATAACATGTTTATTTTAAATTATATAATTGATGTAATATATGTTTATAAGAGGAAAATACCACGTATTTTCCCTACCCATTTGGAAAAATCTTTTATGCGTTCATCACGCATATCTTCTATTTTTGAACAGTTTAAAAATAGGTTTGTCCCTCTCTAATTTACTACAAAATGTTAGTTACTTTTTGTTTTCTCTGTTGTATATTTTCCCCTGTGACATAGTATTTGATTATGTTTGTGTATATCTATGTACTTTGAAGTATTGCAAAAAGGAGAGCTTGATCATATCTGTATTTAAAATCTTTATGTCTTTGTTCTTAGAAAACATACATTTTTTATGCATTCTTGAAATTGCTTATTCTTCATTTCTGACTTCACATTTATCCCCACTGCTTTTGAAAGACGGCAAGAATGGGTAGACATCATGTGTATAGTGAAGTTGCTACAGTATCTGTCTTATTGACATAGTAAATGACCATGAAACATAAGCAACAGATTCTAAAGTACAAAATTACATTTATAGGTGAGATATATGAGCCTTTTAAAAAAATTTCTCATGTAGCCATTCGTAGTGTACTTGCCCTCTTGGTATATTTTCTCATATAAAATAGTGATGATATTTCAGAGTTGTTAAGAGAGTAAATGAGTAGCAGATCAAAATTAATATTGGACTGAATCTGAATATCACCCTCATATAATTAACATCTGGGATGTAAGAGTAAATCTGAAATGTTTTATAAAATGCAGTTGTTATTAATATTAGTACTTGAATGCTTATAGAATACAATAACTTTCTTAGCATTATCTGCTACCTCATTATTCATTAAACACTCTAATTCATGTTTGTAACCCTAAAAGATGCTTACTTTTAACTATCAGTGAAGGAGTAAGATTTTAGGGGATTACTTCAGTTTTCTCTAATTTTTTTCTTCTGATCCTTAGTATTTTTTAATACGTCAGGTGGAAGATGATTTATCATGGACATTGGAGTTTTTCGTCTTTTTGAGATATTGAGCCTCAGTTGACATTGTTTTTAATTAATGGTCGCAAGCTAAGATATATTCTTAAATATTGAACTTTTCCTGAAAGACCATGGTCATTAAAAGAAATAAATAACTTAAAAAGATTTTGTTTAATGTTATGAATGTTAGTACACTAAATATGTCTATAAATATCAGAATCATAATTTTATTATTTTGTTCTCTTAAAATTTTTGTTAATATTTATGGACACAAAGGATCTGTTTTTCCCAGTTATCTAACTTATGCATTCTATTATTTGTAATAAGCATCAGTCTGTTTTATTTGAATGTTTTAAATTATTTTTGTATATAAAATTCAGTTTTCAGTCATTAGTACATCATTCTACTTTTATAATACATGTTTATACTAACACTTAAAATTTTATATTTTAACATTTATTTAACATATTTGTATTTAATGTATAAATTATATTAAGCAGATCTTCAAGTTCTTTTTAGAATGTTTACATACATTTGAAAGTAAATTATTAGATATTATCATAAATGAATGATAAGCTTTATATGTTATTTATAATGTTAATTAGAATAAAATCCTATGAGTTGATATGTTCTTTGAACATGCATAATTTCAGGAGTGCCACAAATGATGTTAAAGTATTAAAGTAGGCTTTTAGCTATTTAGGCTTCCAAGAGACTAAGCTGAAGCCAAATAGCAAATTTTGGCTCAATATAGAGTTAAAAACCAAACTTTAATACATCCCTAATGTGATTAGATATGTAATTAAAACATTTTAAGTCCTATACTTACTTAGGTATTATTGACTTAATTAGAATATATGTGCTCTAACTAGACTGCATGTATTTTTATATGTTTTATTACAGTTGATATATCCTCATAGAGTCAGTCAATATTTTCTGTTTATGGTAAAGTAAAAACTATCCTAGAGACTACTTGGTAATTTAGGGATAAAATTATAGCTAATGTCAGTCATTCATGAAACATGGAGTGCTTATATTTGTTCTAAAGCCCTGCAAAATAGTTTGTATTTTCACCAACCTTACAGTCAAATAGGGAACTTGGCTCTTACATAAGTAATTAATTATAAATCTGATGAATGTTAAGATATGCAGGTTTCAATGAGAAGATATGGGAGGTCTGTAAAGGTATGAGAAAATAAATGAAAAGATGGTGGAAAACAGGATTAAAGGATTTTTGCTGTGAGTAGTATGATATCTGTGAATACTGGCTGCTGTGAGGGGGTGGTTTGGACGGGATAAAAGTGGAGTTAGGGAGACTAGTTAGGAGGCTCTTGTAGAGGGTATAGATGTGAGATGGTGTTGTGAAAATGATTTAAAAGTTTTTCATTTCATTCATTTCCATACATTATCCATACCCACACAGGGACACTACTAATTGGCACTCATATAAAACCCTTTAAAACTCTGGTAAAAATGCACTGTTGGTTAAAAATGACAATATTTTTTAAGAATAGTAAGATAGAAGTATTTCCCAAATGATAAAGATTTTGAGGTACAATTTTTGATTGTACACCCTCACCAGTCTTATTGATAGATTGATTTATAACTTTTTACTTTCAGAAGTCATCTAAAGTAGACAATATAGTAAAAGAAAAAAAGATGCAGTGAAACTGTAAAATATTACATTAAGAATCAAGAAAATTGTCTGTAGTAAAGGGATAGGGGAATGTTAATTGAAAATCTAGATTAATGAATATTATTACAGTTCTTTGACTTTTAGCATTGAGATAATTAGGGCAAAGAAAGAATCATGCTAGATAACAAAACTTATATAGTTATTTAAAAACATATGCATGCGTGTGTATGTATATAACATTTTGTTATTAAGCATCTAAATCTTTACCTGAGTGTTAAATTCTTTTTTTGTATGAGAATATTTCAGTAGAAAATAAAAATGGAGCGCCTTCATCTACTTTCCATCTGAAGTTATCTTTTATATTCACTTGAAAATAAAAACATGAGTTTCAAATCTAAAAGAATGTAAGAAGGTAAAAACAAATGTAAAAGAATGTAGTCTAACATTGTATATAACATTGTAACATTGTAAATCACTGATGTTTTGGTAATGTCATTGTGTATTTTAATACTCTACCATGTAGGATAAGTAACATGGAATTAGTTTTTTATTAAGTAGTATTTCAGGAACTCCACAGTCCAGAACAGATGCTGACTTATTATAAATGAAGTAATTTGAAGTTTTTTTAAAGTAAATAATATATTAATATATTCTTTCTACAAAAAGAACTAAGATAATTCAGATGGAGTAGGGAGACATTATAAGGGACTCCTCCCCCTAGCCTGGAAAAACCTCTTTCTACAGATAGATGTTTATTCTGATTTTTTAATTTATAGATTTATATATGGATATATGGAAATACATAGTCAATTTCCAGATGTTATTTTTTTATATGTATTCTGAAGATTTGCAAATGAAAGGAATGCCATACTTTACCCAAGCTTTTTAACATATTTAACGGGATGTTTTAACATTAGAAAAATCCTATTAAATATAATTCACCACATTACCAAAGAGGAAAAGCTAAATAATCACCTCAGTAGAGTCTAAAGACATTTGATAAAATCAAATACCTTCTCTTTAGAAATTGAGGCAGAAAAACATTGTTTTACTTTGTGCTGTTCTGAAAGTAACTTTCATGTGGGTGTGTGGGTGAGTCTGTGCATCACGAACTTAACACAACTTAACTGAAAAGTGAATAAAGAAAGAAAAATCATCTGTAATTGAACTTATTGAGATTATGCAGGTGTATTTTTTCAGAAGCACTGTGTTTATAATTTTTCTAATAAACTTAACACACTTTTGCCATGTCATTAAAAAATTTTTTCTAAAGGTATGTAGTATGGAAGAATTATATTTTATTTAACCATTCTTTCATATTAGAACATTTAAGTTATGCACATCTTAAATTATTTCCCTAAGATATTTCTTAGGATAGAGTTAAAATCTTTGGATCAATTGGAATATGAAGTTTTTTGATTTCTGTTGTGAATTTGCCCTTCTAAAATATATTGTAGCAGTGGTCTATCGGAGTCCATTTACACATGAATGTGACATATTGATAGACCAAAAAAAAAAATTAGAGAAAATTGCATAAATTGTTATATATAAAGCAACTCACCTTTCACATTTTGTAGATGCTTTTAAAAATGGCTGACTTTTTTTTTTTTTTGACTCCTCAGAAAACCAGACAAACAAAACAGTAGATACTTCTGTTAATAAGAAAGCAGCTGATAGCACATCACAGGTAAGACTTTCCTTCTGTTTCAAGTTAAAATTCTAATTATAGTCCACAGGAGAATGGATTTCCATCAGTATTCTTTAATACAGCGAAAATTAGAATCATTTTTCTGAGAGTTTTTTACAACTCTCCAAAGATTTTCAAACAACTTCTCTGTAATAATTGACAAAAATTGAGTTTCTTAGAGGTGATACTCATTTATTATATTAACTAACCATTTGGATTATATAATTGAGAATTCAGTTATTTGCCTTTATTTAGTGTAAAGATTCAGTATAGTTTCCTTCTGGTCCATCTTTTTAAGGGTCTCGCTGGCTTCCCCCTACTCATGTCCCCCTAGCACATATACAGAGGCACCATTTTAATTTCTTCAGAGTTGATTAAAAATAACTTTTTGCAAAGAAAATCTTCATCTTTTTGATAGCTTATTAGCACTTTGCCAGTCTTGGTACTTTTTTATGTTAAATCTTAATTACCCAGAGGTGGAGTAATTACTTTTTCCCTGTATTAACAGTGTTCTTCCTACTTCTTTTACTATATTACTTTAGGTATAATAGATTTATAGAGACATCATTTAGGTTGTTGATAGTTTTTTTTTTCTTCTCTTCTTCTTAATTATTTCAAGAAATTCGTATATTTTTTCTGGAAGACCAAAATCTTGAATAAGCAGGCATGAATAAATTACATGAATTTTAAAACAAGGGCATAATGATCTTTTTAAATATGACTGTTTGCTTTAAAATGATGGATTTTTGACCAAAGCTAGATATATACCATGATTTAGAGATCAAATTAAAGCGATAAATATTTCGTTTTATACGAATTTTAGCAGTCTTTGTGTATGATATTAAAGATCAAAGTTATGATTAATTCTGAGGATGTCTTTTGGATTTTTGCTATATTTTCAATTAAAAGTATATATAGGATATTTTCTAGAAGACATGTGGTGTGGAAAATGTTGATTAGTGATTTTTATGTGACATAGGAAGTCTGACATTACTTTATTAGGTAAAACTAAACTGAACCAAGAATTTACAAACATCTTTATTTCCCTCAGTGATTTTTTTATTTGGACAAACTGAGTAACATTATCAGGACAGAAAGATGGACATTGTAATGGCTATATTTTATCATCTAATACATGGTGGTTCTTCTAAAGATATACTGTCTAATATAGTAGCCACCAACCACATTTAGCTTTTCAAATTAAAATGAAATTTTAATTTAATTAAAATTTTACTTTCTCTGCCACAGTAGCTCCATTTCAAGGCCAGTAGCCACATATGGCTAGTGACTAACATTGGAATACACAGATATAAAACATTTTCATCATTGCAAAAAGTTATATTGGATTACTGAAATGAAGTATACGTAAAACTGTAAATATTTAAGGGAAATTAAAATTAATATAGAAGTTGCTATACTTTAAATTTTTATGAAAAAATAAAGAACAAAACAATGTAAACCCAGTTACACCCAACTGCTTATTATATTGTAGAAAATTTAAAACATGTATTATTTCACACTTCACAGGTTTTAAAATCTAAAATAGCTTATTTTATATCGTACTGACTTATTTGATGAAATAGCTTATACCAAAAAGTCACCTGAAAGAGTGACTGCATCAGACAGCAAAGAGACAGTATAACCAAACACATTAAGTTCTCAATGGATATTTTATTTGGCTTAGAGAAAGAGGAATTTAGTACTAGAGAATAAAAAAATACAGCTAAGCAGTTTGATTAGACAGCTAACTTGCTAAAGTAATACCTTGTCAAAAATAGCAAAGTTTCAGCTTTGAATGAATTCACTTATGGATACAAATAATAAATACGCAAGTTTTATTATATGATGAGAAACTATTATAAAACTATATATGTGCTGCCAGTTATAAATCCATGTTTTGCTGGCTTGACTTTTCTAGTACAAAATATAATTTTTGCCATTGTGCTGAATATCTTCATTAATGTAACTCGATTTTTTTGAAGATGTATTAAGAAATTAGTGTTTGTTGTTTGCCACTTACTAGCAAATAGAAAGTAGTGTGAAACAAATAGCCTATTATTCTTTAGAATATCGCTTTCCGGTACACGTGGCTAACACTTTCTAGTACACGTGGCTAACTTATTTTTACTGTGCTTGTATGGAAATGATTGTTGTTCAATCATACCTAATCAAGAAATAACTTAATATGAAAAATATTATTTGTAGTTCTTGAATGAAGATTTCTCTAACATCTTCCAAATAAGTATTACCTTATTTCACATAAAGTATTATACTACATATTCATCTACCTCGTTTTATATAATACTTTACAAATAGTGAAAAATAAATTTATTCAAATTATCAGCATCATTGTAAAACAATGTAGAATTCTTTTTTGCCACTATTTGTAGTTAAATTGCTATTTTGAGGGACTCAAGCTCAAGTTTGTTGATTTGCCAGAAGGACTCATTGCAGATTATACTCATGTTTATGGTTTACACAGCAAAAAGGTAGAGAGTAAAAATAATAGGAAAAAGATATGCATCAAATGGGGTTCACAGAGGTCAGGAATAGGCTTCTAAGTCCTCCCTTGTCCAGCATCGCATAGGATGTGTTTTCTCTTTTTTTATTAACTGCAGGGACATTCGCCAAGAGTCTCTGCTTGAGAAGCCTTATTGAATTTCAAGGTGTGAGGTATTTTAAAGGACTCATCATATATAGCCATGTCTTTCTATGTAACCAGCCATGGCAGTCGAAACTCAGGACCCCAACAATAAAATCAGGTGTACATCATCAGTCTAGATGTTTGTGTAAATCAGTCCTATCAAGCCAGTGTGACACAGTCCAGTTTTCAAGGTATACATAACAAAATTATCAGTTGTTAGTGTAAACTTTGCAAGGGCTACATTCTTGGTACCTTTCAAGTCTCAGTTATAGTTCCAGGTTCCCTTGGAGAGACGTGCACGGAGTAAACAACCAGGTCTTCTGTATTAACTTACATTGCAGTTGTTTAAATGTCCTACTGTAGCCTTTCATATATGTTCTTTTTGTTTCAGTACCAAAAAAAACCAACAAAGCTAATATCTTTGCTCTCTTGAAATTTTTTTTTAGCGTTCACTTAAAAAGAGTGGTCGTTTTGGGGAAGTACACATGATTAGTTAATAACCTTTTAATAAAATAGATTCTTAGTATTAAAACCTACTTAATTTTTTTTGATAGGGAACTTTAGTAATATGTGTAATTGCAGATTTAAACGTGTGTGATGTCTCATTAAATAAGCTTTCTTGGAGATGATGCCAGAAAAAAATGTAAATATACACATACATGTAAATGTATCTGCTTATAAATCTGCACCTAGTGGCATAGAAATAAGCTCTAGAGTCTCACAACCTGGCTCCTATCACTTAACTAGTGTATAAACTTTAGGCAAGTTATTTAACACTTTGGATTTCTCACCTATAAAATGTGGCTAATGCTGTTACCCTATCTCATAGGATTATTGTAAAGATTAAATTTGTTAATGAATATAAAATATTTAGCAGAGAGCCCAGTAGTAATAATGCCAGCTATCTGATTACCTAATTGCTGTTAATAATTATAGAAATAATTAGCAATTTTATTTCTCAAGAAGAAAATATAGCTAGGAAACTACTGTAGTATATGATAATAGGTGAATTGTATCTGTCATGTTATAGCCAATAAAAGTGTAATTCAGTAGATTAGATTTGATTGTAGACCTGTAGACTTTCTTGTCCTATTATATTTATACATTATAGAAAAACATACACCTTATAATAGAGCATGAAAACATATGAAGTGAAGACAACAAAGTTAATGGGAGAAATTGACAAATTGACCCTTTTATCATTATAAAGTTTCCCTCTTTGTATGTTGTCTAATATTTACATGGTCATAATTTTTTGTGCTTGCTTTTTTCACTGTGTTTGTGTCTTTATACTTAAAGTGAATATCTAGGAGAAAAAATTTAGTTATTTCTTGTTTTCTTGATGTCTTCTCCCATCTGACAATTCCTACATTTTGATAGATTTCAGTCTATTTACAGTTAGTATAATTATTAATATAGTTGTATTTAGATCTACTGTTTTATAATTTTTAAAATGTTTCATCTTACTGTTTCTGTGTGCTTTTTTTGTGCTTTATTTTGTGTCAGTCTTTTTTTTTAATATTTTATCTTAATTCTTCCGTTGCCTTTCAATTTTTTTTTTTGTTTCTACTTTTGAGATTTCTTATATGCACATTCATTACTATCATATTTTCCTTTAATTCTTTGAACACATTTTTAACAACTGCTTTGAAATCTTTGCCAAATTCACCATCTGGCTCCTCTTGGAGTCATTTTCTTTTGACTATATTTTATCTTTGTTTGGATTCTACTTTACTAGTCTACTTATTTGTTATAACTTTTGATAAATTTAAATTTTAGTAAATTTTAAAAGTGAACCTTATATTGTAGCAAGTGGATTCTGATACATTCATTCAGACTTTGTTAAGAACTTTTAGTATTGGACTTTACAGATTTGCCGTGTTTGTTAACAAGTTATTTTCTATGAAGTCATTATCATGGAATGGTTTATAATTGTAACATTGTCTTGCAATTGGGCCTGAATTTTTGAACTTCAAAGAATTATTTTTCTTTAACTTCAAAAAATTTGAGTTTTGCAGATGAAAACCTTAATCATTTTGAGTTAATCTACATTATAATATGATTGTGATGAACATATACAGTCATGTGCTGCTTAACAAGTGGGATATGTTCTGAGAAATGAGTCATTAAGGGATTTCATCATTGTGCAAACATCATAGAATACACTTACACAGACCTAGATTGTATAGCCAGCCCCTACTACACACTTAGGCTATATGGAATAGCCTTTTGCTCCTAGGTTACAAGCTTGTATAGCATGTTACTGTACAAAACAACACAAGAGAAAAATGGTACAATTAAGAGACACATTAAACACAAGATGTAAGAGGCTGCTGCCAGCATAACCTAGCATACTTTTTTACAGCAAGTTATTTGTATGAGTAGAAAGAGCACACTCTAAAATAACGATAAGAAGTATAGTGTAGTAAATACATAAACCAGTAACATAGTCATTTATTACTATTATCAAGTATCATGTACTGTACTGTACATAATTGTATGTGCTATGCTTTTATATAATTGGCAACATAGTAGGTTTGTTTACACCAGCATCGCCACAAACACATGAGTAATATGTTGTACTGTGATATTATGACAACCATGATGTCACTAGGTGATAGGAATTTTTAACTGCATTTTAATCTTATGGGACCACCATTTTATGTGCAGTCCAGTGTTGACCAAATGTCATTATGCAGCACATGACTATACTAAGCACTTACCATTATATCACCCTTGGTATTAAACTCCATGTATACATATTTAGATTAATCCTCATAAGCAACTCCATATCCAGATTTTGCAAATTACCTTTTAACATAAATTTGCAAAGCTAATAAGTATTGTAACTAAAAGATGCACTCAGTCTTTTTGACTCCAGGATCCTGGTGCTTTAAGTCTGTGTTTTATTGCTTTTCATTTTTTGTGGCTATTATATGGCTTAAAATTTTTTTTAAGTTACATTTCTAATGATTTTGTATGATGGTTTAACTTAAGTCAAATTGGATGTCAGTTAATAGTGCAACACACCATATTCCATCATACCATACCATTTTTTAGGGAAAAAACAGATTTAGATTATTTTAGCCTAATTCTAGCTTTAAAGTTGCCTTTGGTGTTTTTATGAATAAATAATAATGATTTAATTTAGGATTGGTCAACATTTTAAATGTTAGAAAATGAATAGTTTGTGTTTAATCACTTATTACTTAAAGCACCTAATTAATTTCAGAGCTCTAAGCAATTGACAGCTTACTTTTAAAAAATCATCTAGAATTTCTTGTGAAAATATTTCAGAATTGTTTTTTATGTGGCAGATGTTTAGATTGTGAGTATCCTGGGGTCTATCTGACAAACACTGTTTCTTCAGGTAAAGCCATTTGGGGTCCAGATTGAACCAGGTCATTCATTATCCTCATTTCTCCTCAATATTATATTATTTTTCCTTTGTCTGCAAGAGTTCCTTTTACAAAATGAAAATGTTTTGTTTTTCAGAGTGGAAAAGCCACAGGTGGTGATTCTGGTGGTGTCATTGATCTCACAATGGATGATGAAGAAAATGGAGCTTCACAAGGTACTTAAATATAAGTAATCATACTAAGTGATGCTTCGATACCATTTTGTCCTCTCAATTTAGTGTAACAGTCAGTGAAGACAGATAGCTACGGCATATGCTTGGTCTAGTTATATCCTTTCTAGAATGAGAACTTTTTAGATTAGAATTAAAAAATAGAAATCACATCTTGAGTGAATATGCATACGTCATAGAGGAAAACAATAATTAGGAGAATATTTAACTTATGGAGCCACCTAACTTTTTATATCTGTCATTTCACTTGATTCTTGCAATAACCCTGTAATGCCCTTTTAGACTTGAGCTCAGCTTCACTGAGTATGAGTCAGTAAGGGAACTGGAAATCAAATCCAGCTCTTCTGACTTTAAATGTTGTGTGTGTGTGTGTTTTAATGTAGGCACTTTTAAGTATATACATTTAATTTTAGTTATTTGAATTAAGTTCCATTACTTACTGTTATCTAAATTAAAATGAAAGGAATGTTAAAAAGCATGCATACCCAAATTCCTTGATATTATTTTGAGTTACAATATTTAGAAATTATATTAGATAGATATTTATTAATATTACAGATTATTCTTCTGCAGGGTTAATAGGTGTTCTATGAATAAAAAGTTCCATGGTTAAATATGCTTGGGAAATGTTTAGTAAACAAAATAATATATTTTTTTTCCTAACTATAGACTTCTCCGAGCTTTTACTGTGGTCATTTATAATGTAAATCTCCAGGAATGATTCAAGATATAAAGTAGTTCCCAAACTTATTTGACTGCACGGAATAACTTTTCACAGATATATCTGTAAAACTCTGTGGTTATAATTATATAATCCATATGGAAAATACCGTAAAATCAGGTACTAAGTTAATTATGACCTTAAAGATATTAAATTCAAAACACCTAGAGATTTAAATATTATATTATTATATTTTAGGGAGTAAGATAGTTTGGTTCTAGGGAAATAAGATTAAGTAGCTATATGATTATGTGACAGTAAAATAATTTTTTTTTTATAAAACTGCTGTAAAGTTGGAAGATTTATGCCATTATATGTCAGGGTTGAATTAGAGCAGTATGATTATTCTTACAAAGTTTCAAGTTATCTGTATTGCTTTCACTATTTTTTATAAACAAGTCTAAATATAGCAACTCTTAGAAGGCAAAAATAAATACACGTTATTTTTGAGAGGCTACATGTAGGGCTGATCCTGAATAAAAAGGAAAATAAGCAAAGTCTGCTATCGGTGCTCTTGCCATTTCCTTTTCTAGCGTCCCTGCTTCGTGGAGTCTCTTTCCATTGCTTCACTATTGAACATATCTTAAATTCTTCCAATTAAAATATCACTTGCTAAAGCCTTGAATTTTATCTACATTTTAGAATTTTATTTACATAGAAATTTACTTCCATTTTAGAATTCTGTGGCAGATTCTAGGGCAGAAATCAGTGGGGATCATTTTGGATAGAGGAGCTTTTGGCTTATAGTCTTTATACCATATAGTGGGTTACCTATTTTTAAGGGCTTTTTCTGAGATGCAAATATGTATTTCATAGGCTTTTGGAGACCATTTTTGAGGTAGACATTCTGTATTTTACTTTAAAGATTGGATAGTATAAATAAGCAGCCATCTGTGTTATTAAAAGAATGTAAACAACAGTAGAGTAATTGGAATTCAAGATCTCTGGTGCAAAATTCATCAATTGATAGGTATTTGTCTAGGAGAATGCCCTTGATATAGATATAAATGTAAGAAATGAAATTATTCTAATTAATATTATGTTGTATTGAGTTCAGAAATAGGATTCTTTCATCAAAAACAAAACAAAACTATTTCTGTAAATGTGAATTAGAATTTGTGATGGAACCAACAGTGAATTATTTAACATCCTGATTTGATTTTCAAATTGGCAAAAATACACGTAATTAAAATAGAAGGTACAAATGGCCAACAGACATATGAAAAGATGCTTAACTTCACTAGCTATTAGGGAAATGCATATCAAAACCACAATGAGATACCATTTCACACCTGTTAGAATGGTTATAATCAACAGGACAAGTTATAACAAATGCTGGAGAAGGATACAGAGAAAAAGGAACACTCATCCACTGTTGCTGGGACTGCAAATTGGTACAGCCACTATAGAAAGCAGTATAGAGGTTCCTCAAAAAACAAAGAGTTGAATTAACCTATGATCCAGCAATCCCTCTTCTGGGCATTTACCCCCAAATCCTGAAAACATTTATCCGCAAAGATATATGCACCCCGATTTTCATAGCAGCATTATTCATGGAAGCAACTGAAGTGCCTATGATAGATGATTGGATAAAGAAGATGTGGTACATATATACAATGGAATATTACTCAGCTATAAGGAAAGATGAAATACTGCCATTTGTGACAACATGGATGGATCTTGAGATAATCATGCTAAGTGAAATAAGTCAGACAAAAAACTGAAAACCACGTGATATCACTCATATGTGAGATATAGACCTAAAAGCAACAAACATGATAAACAGAGACTCATGGACATGGACAGTGGCTTAGAGGTTACCAGAGGGAAGGCGAGGAGCAGGGAGGTAGATGGGGGTAAAAAGGGTGAAATGTTTGGTGACAGAAGGAAATCTAACTATGGGTGGTGAACACACAATGCAACATAGTGTCGAAACTTATTGGATTTGTTGATCAGCGTCACCCCAGTAATTTTTATTAAAAATAAATAAAGGAGCAAACCCTCTAAAAAAAAATTAAAAATAAAAAAAATTAAAAGTTCAATTGAAAAAAAATAGAAGGAAATTTTTCTCTAAGCAGTAAATGTGACAAGCAAAAGTAAAATTCACCCATAAAGGAAAAACCTGTATTTTGGCTTTTTTTTTTATTATTAATAATTATAATGCCTCACTTTTAATTAACAGACCCTAAAAAGCTAAATCACACTCCTGTGTCAACCATGGGTTCTTCTCAGCCTGTGTTTCGACCATTGCAACCCATCCAACCAGCACCTCCTCTTCAACCGTCTGGGGTGCCAACAAGTGGACCATCTCAGACAACAATACACTTACTACCTACAGGTAAACTTGCTGAATCATTGAACTGAAGCATTAGTTTTGTCTTCGGTGAAATATGACTATGGAATCAAGTGGAAAGATTAGACAGAAATTAAGAGTAATTATTGTGATTTTGAAAATTGTGTATCTTTTTGAATGCATTATAATTTACTTTTGCTGACCATCTTAAGTAGCAGAACTGATATAGAATGGTTATATAGAAGACTTAAACTATGTGCCTTTGTCATCTGCCACTAGACGTAGTAGAAATGAATATAGTTTTTCTGGAAGAGATGGGTATGATGATTCATTCTGATTATAACCAAGAAGTTATAATTGACTGATTAAATAGGATTTTTTTCCCTGTCTTTATTGAAATATAATAGACAATTAGTTGCTTATATTTACATTGTACACTTCAATGAGTTTTTTTAAAATTATAGTTGGCATATAATAATATACCAGTTTCAGTTGTATAGCATAGTGATCAGAGATCCACATAACTCACAAGTGATCAACCCACTAAATCTAGTACCCCTCTTCTCCCTTAACATTATTATTATATTATTAACCATCTTCCCCATGCTACACTCTACATCTCCATGTCTATTCTGCAGCTCTCCATTTGTACCTCTTAATCCCTTTGCCTTTTTTTGTCCCCCTAAGCCTCCCATTTAGTATCCTTCTAAATATTCTCTGTATCTATGAGTTTATTTCCGCTTTTTTTGTTGTTGATTTTGTTCATGCGATATTTGCCTTTCTCTGTCTGACCCATTTCATTCAGCGCAGTACCCTCTAGGTCCATCAAGGCAATATCTTTTTCCATCCCCTTCCTTTTAGTCTGTGTGTGTCTTTTAATCTGAAGTGACTCTCTTGTAGGCAGCATATGTAGGGGTCTTGTTTCCTTATCCATTTAACCACTATTATCTTTTGGATGGAGCACTTAATTCTTTTCCATTTGAAGTACTTGTTGATAGGAATGTAGTTATTACCATTTTTTATTCCTGTTTTTGATACATCTTTTTTCTTCTTAAAGAAGTCCCTCCAACATTTCCTGTAACACTGACTTGGTGATGATAAAGTCCTTTAGCTTATTTTTGTCTGGGAAGCTCTTTATCTGTCCTTCAACTCTAAGTGATAGCTTTGTTGGTTAAAGTAGTCTTGGGTTTTCAACACTTTTTATATTTTGTGCCAAGCCCTTCTGTCTTGCATAGTTTATTTTGAGAAATCAGCTGCTAGTCTTATGAGTGTTCCCTTGTAGGTAACTAACTGCTTTTCTCTTGCTGCTTTTGATTCTCTCTTTGTATTTAACCTTTGGCATTTTAATTATGATGTGTCTTGGTGTGGGCTTCCTTGGGTTCCTGGTTCTTGGGACTCTCTGCGCTTCCTTGGGTTTTAGGGAAGTTTTCATCATTATTTCTTCAAATAGCTCTACGACATCTTGTTTTCCTTCAGGTACCCCAATGACATGGATACTTTTACCCTTAATAGTGTCCCCTAGGTTCCTTAAATTATTATTACAGTCTTGGCTTTTTCTTTCCATTCTGATTGTGTCCTTGGCTTTCCCATCCTCTATATAGGTCATTCGATCCTTTTCTTTATTTGTTTATTCCATTTAATATACTTCTCATCTCAGATAATGTGTTCCTCATTTCTGACCGGTTCACTTCTATAATTTCCATTTCCATTTTTATGTTTTTTATCTCTTTGTTGCTCCATTATTTCTGGATCTCTGTTCTGTTCTCTCATGTGGTTTCTGCTTCTTTGTCTTCACATTTCGGTTACCTTTCTGTGTCTGTTTCTATGTATTAAGCAAAGCTCCTAAGTCTCCCGGTCTTATTAGTGTGGATTTGTGAAGTAGTTGTCCAGTGGCACAGTCCTGAGAGGGGTTCACCTGTAGGCCCAAATTTAGCCCCAGCCTGTGCCCTTTTGGGGCTACTGTTAAGATTTAGCAAGCAATCCACAGATGCTGTGCTTACAGTTGCCTCAAAAGGCCACCACACCAGAAACCGAGGCCAGCTGCCACCAGTGTGAGTCTAGGCGCTGCTCAGCAAGGAGCACCTGACTCACCGAGGACACAGTTCTGAAAGCTAGAAGTCCCAGATCAAGGTCTGTCAGGGTCGGTTTATGGTGAGAGCTCTCTCTCTGGCTTTAGATGGCCATCTTCTCCATAGGAATTTTTAAATAATTCTTAACTCTAATCAGTTTTAACTGGCCTAACACTACCATCAAGAAGTATACACTAATATTTTACTTGCTACTTCTCAAGAAGCTGTAAATGAGACATTTTCAAGATGTACTCAATATCTCCTAAACCGTTTGGAAGCCAGTAAAGACAATTTTTCTTTATAAAATAGCCCATTGCATAGAGATTTATCTACAAAATAACTTATTTAAGCACACTTCTCCTTAAAGAAAACATTGAGTTTACATGGAATTTTATCTAGTGTAATTAAAATGACAGTCACTTAATTTAGATAATTTAGAAGAAAATGTTGTCATATAAACCTGTAGATAATAAAATGGGGAATAAAGAGATGAAGAGATAAGTATTCTTCCTTGTATACTTTCATCTTTGTTATATATAACATTTAACTCCAAATTTATTTTATTATAGAATTCATTTATTCATATAAAGGAAATTTATTGTTTTTTATGATATCTGTAGTTTATATGTGGTCATTTGTAAAATGTGATTCTAATTCAGAGTTATTAACAAAAACTGTTGACTCCTAAAATCATTATTGTAGTTCCATGCTATAAGTGAAACATTTAAGGCCCAGTTTTCATAGATATATATTAACATCATTCAAGGCATTAATGCTCTGGAATATACATTAGGAGGAATGCTAGAGTAGAGAAGGAGAAAGTCTGTATCTTAATGGATGTTTTATTGTTTTGAATAAGAGATGGTTTGGTTCACTTGAAGAAAATGTCAGTTATAATAGCCAACTCGTTTCTTGAACTATGGGAATGTAGAGTTAACTCTTTTGGACTTATATCCATTTAAAGATAGCCTAGAAGGCCTAAAATTCCACTCTGCTAAGAACAATTTAACATTGAAGAGGGAAAATTTGCTCTTTTAAGTCACTCCTTTAAGGTCATAGCCTTGAATCTAAACCCTGTCTTTATCTTCACATGCTTATTGATCTAGTCAGAGTAAAGAGATGAAGGCTATTGGACATGATTGAGATGCTCTTTTTTTCTGAAGTTTGGATTATAATATTAGTTTCGGTTGGCCCTATCAAGATTACAAAAGGAGACTGTCGTCTCTTTCTTAGAGTTAGATTTTGTACAAAGTGAATCACCATTTAATACTCTTAACATAGAATTTACTATATTCTTAATATTTTTTTCTACTTTTCATTAGCTCCAACCACCGTGAATGTAACACATCGTCCAGTAACTCAGGTGACCACAAGACTTCCTGTACCAAGAGCTCCTGCAAACCACCAAGTGGTTTATACCACTCTCCCAGCACCACCAGCTCAGGCTCCCCTGCGAGGAACTGTTATGCAGGCTCCTGCTGTGCGGCAGGTCAATCCCCAAAATAGTAAGAGACTCTTCTTGTATATGGCCCCAAGCGTATAGTTCTTCAGCATTTAGTTGGAGTGCCTCTTATTGATATTAGATTTAGTGAAAAGAGCTTATAATGTCATATTAAAACTCTTAATAATTCATTTTTCTTCCACTAGAGTTAACCAGAAAATTTAGACATGAATGTTATATAATTGGTGCTCTGTGTTTTATCTTCAACTTAATTTTAGTCATGGCCTGTATAATTATGGTACCCTTTTTGATTTTGGTCTATACTCCACTCTATTAATAGATACCTTGCCTAATTAAAGTGAGAATGACTAATTATGATTTAGCCTAGATGATGGAAATAATGGTAATGGATAGTGTCCATTGAGAGAGTCTTAAAGATATAGAAGATGGCTGAGAAGTAAAAGATGTAAAAACATTGAAGGGAACTTGTAGTTTCTACATACAGATGGTCTCTGACTTGAATTTCTTTTTACTTTATGATGGTGCAAAAGCAGTACACAGTCAATTGTAACCATACCTAGAATTTTGAATATTTATCTTCTCCTGAGCTTGTGATATATGATACAATACTCTCCTGTGAGGCTGGGAGCCAGCCACAGCTTCCAGTCAGCTACATGTTCATGAGGGTAGACAACTGGTACTTTACAGTGTACTGTATTACCAACATTTTTTGAATATTGCATTTTGTGTTTTTGCATTCCATCATGTCTACAACATGCCCATCTTTGTTTCCTGCTTCTGGTAAGAAAAGGAAGGTAATTACTCTTGAGATGAAACTTGAGATAGTTGCCGAACTGTCGGCTAATGTAAGTGTTCTGAACACATTTAAGGTAGGCTAAGCTTGATGTTCAGTAGGTGAGATGTATTAAATGTGTCCTAGTTAAAAAGATGAGACAGCAGTGATCTTTGTGAGGATAGCTTTATTTTTTCTGTCTTTAGAATCACACTGCTCCATTCTGGCTTGTTTGCGAACATTCTACATGTACGGTACCACCAGTGTTCCAGTGATCTAGGATTTTTGCTCATAGTCATTTTGGTAGGGATTCCATTTATTTCATCCTCATGCTTGAATGATACTTTGGCTGAGTGTAGACTTCTAGATTAGAAATATTTTTCCTTCTGTTTTTTTAAAAATAACACTTTACTAACTTCAAGTGTTTAATCAGTGTTCCACCAAATTTAGAATAGAATTCTAATTTTTCCCTTAATTTTCTGTTGTAGGTGTCACAGTTCGAGTGCCTCAAGCAACTACATATGTTGTAAACAATGGGCTAACCCTGGGGTCAACAGGACCTCAGCTCACAGTGCATCACCGACCACCACAAGTGCATACTGTAAGTGTTGGTGCTTGTCTTTACAAATATTCATTGATAAAGCTGTCAAACATTATTATAGTTAGCATTTTTTTCTTTATGCTAGTTATATCAAAAGGAAATGACAGGTCTTCTGTTTTTCCTGCAGAAGTTTTTTTAAGATAGTAGATCTTAACCATTATGAACAAATGTTCCTAGGGACGATGGTCATCGAAGATCATCGAGTTTGCTTGTGGTGGCTTACAGTGTACAGAGTCCACAGCTGGGGCATGTGAAGTAAAATAAGGAGACCATTTTAACTCATGGTTAAATTAAAAGGAATATTTTTTAATATTAAAAAGCATATTTCAAAAAGTATTTTTTGATGTTTTAATGTTATTCTTTTCCTCAAAACCTTATATACCAGTTCTAACTGCTACATGGCCACCACGTTATTGTTTTTAATAATCCATCAGTATTGGGAATTCATTTATTGAGAGATTCACAATACTGCTGGATTATTAGATATAGCCTCCAAAATAATGTCACATTATCCTGCGATGTGATTATAACAATATTTAGTACAGTATACCATGTAAATGGAAATACTGGCTTTATGAAGAGGGGAGAAATTGAGGCTGGTATCTGTTTTTACCAACCAAAGGATCCTTTTTTTATTAAACATATTAATGGCTAGCATTTATCGAGTGTTTACTGTGTGCCAGGCACTATTAATATACTTAGTCCTCACACAGGAATCCTGTAAGTCTCTTGCTTTTTTATAGATACTGTGGCTAATACACAGAGGTCGAGTAAAAACCCATGCCCTTGGGCCTATGTTCTTAATAGCTATTATTTTTAGTATCCCACTATAATGAAAAAATTAATGGAGCACTTACTATATATCAGGTACTCTACTAAGCACTTACGTTTATTTTGTTTAATCTTACTCAAAACTTTATGAAGACTTTTTTTTTTTGATATTAAAGGATACTATGTCACAAAGATGTTAAGTGGTTACTCAGTGTCATTACCCAAGCGAGCGTCAGAGGCAGAGCCATTTTAAAATTCAGGTTATCTGATCCCAGAACCTCCAGAGTGTTTTCATAGCGCTTCAGTCTGGCCCTGTTAGGGTATGTGGCAAATATGTTATTACTGTTGTTTGCAGCTGCAAATAATTTATTTTATCCTATATTCTTTCAAAAATATATATAGTAAAAATGTATTATTTATGCCATAGTTTTGCAGATTTGATAACCCATAAGAGTTGAGTTTGTGATGTTTTTTGTTTGTTTTTTTTATGGGATTCCATCCATGTGTATTGTCTTGGAATAAACTGTGTATCTCACAGGAGGAACATTCTTTTAATTAATCTAAAAATATATTTTTAAATGGCAATTTTCAAATGTATATAAAAGATTAGTATAACAATTCCTACATACCCATCAACAATTATCAGCACTTGGCTAGTCTTATTTCATCTATGGTGCCAGTCACTTAAATTCCACAACCATATATACACCAGATTATTTTGAAGCAAATACCCGATATATTATTTTATCTGTAAAACTTCAGTAAAAATCTCCATTGCAGTGGCAAAAACAAAACAACATTGTTGACTTAATTTGTTTGTGGATATGAGCAGATTCAGAATCCTAGAATTTCAAGAACTTTAAGGCATATTACAGGCCATTTAAGATATTGTCAAACTCCTTGAATTCCTGTGCTCCCTCCAGTCAAGTTCATGGCTCCAGCCATCTTCTCTTAGAGTGCTAGCTATACATTTGTTTAATGTTATTATTTTAAGTGATTAAGTCTTTTTAGGAAAAAAGACGTTCTGAGAGAGGAAATACAGCCACATGGCTAGTATTCATTATCAGTTCTAATTCTTCAGCTTTCAGTGTTTTATCTATTTAAATTTGCCCCCCCAACTTTATATTTATTTTAGCTTTTTAACTATAGATTGTACCTTTTTCCAGATGTGTGTATGAATTTTTTCTACTAGGCATATGAATTTCAGCAGATATTCATTCCTGGAAATTATTCAGCATATCCTTTCTAAGTTCTTCCTATGTGCATGTTTCTGGTACTAAACTTTGAAAAGGCATGGAAATTAAAAAGAGCATCAGACCATCACAGAATTCACTAGTATGTGCAAATTATTCATTTAATGAAATGTATAGTAAAACAATTTTTGTTAAATGAACTTCAGTTAAGGAAACCTTATTTGTTTCATGACTTTCAATCTACAGGCAATGAACAATAAGTAAAAATCACTCATATCCCTATTTCCTGGCTCTAACTAGAATCTTTTTTGAAAAAATTATTACTGTAATCTTAAAACCCAGATATAATAAAATAATAATAATAATAATAATATCCAGTGTTAGATAAGTCATTTTGACTTCCTAAGCTAAGTATTTATGCTTTTTCATCATCTGGCTTTAACCTACCTTTCTAAATTTATCTTTTCTTCTTCACATACTCCATGTCTAAGTAAAAGTTAATACTTGGTTTTGCCTATAAATCCCTTCATTTGAAATTCCCATGCCTTTGCTCATGCTTTACCTTTCAGCAGAAAGTTACACAACTTTTCCTACATTTTAAACTCTCATCTTTCATGGCCTAATTTAAATGTCACCTTTCCATGCAGACTGACCAAAAACATAATATATGTTTATATGGAAAAAGGACTTAAAAATGAAAGTAGAGTTGAATACTCAAGTTTCCCAAGATAGACTGCCACACATATTTTAAAATGTTATATTATACTAAAATGAGAATCTGTAGTACATGTAGAGAATTAAATCTTAAATTATTTTTTTTAGAAATGGATGATTATTTCAATTTCTGTCAAGATGATGTTCCATTAGTAAGAGCTTTTATTTCCTGAGGAAAACTCAGCATTGTAGGTCTAGAAAGTGTAGCAGGAGTTACCTCAGCTCCATTGTTTGGGGCATGATTGGTTACAAATCACCAAATAAAACTTGCTAAATGTAGTATAATGTTTGTTATTTCCCAGTATTCTTGATATAAAATGATCTCTAAGATATTCTAGTTCTGTGCTCATTATGAATTAACATGACTCTTCTCTTGTTAGGAGCCCCCACGCCCTGTGCATCCAGCACCCTTACCAGAAGCCCCACAACCACAGCGTCTGCCCCCAGAAGCTGCCAGCACATCTCTGCCTCAGAAGCCACACTTGAAGTTAGCAAGAGTTCAAAGTCAAAATGGCATTGTACTATCATGGAGTGTCCTGGAGGTGGATCGAAGTTGTGCCACTGTTGACAGCTACCATCTCTATGCTTACCATGAGGAACCCAGTGCCACTGTGCCCTCACAATGGAAAAAGATTGGAGAGGTTAAGGCACTTCCTTTGCCCATGGCATGCACTCTCACCCAGTTTGTATCTGGCAGCAAATACTACTTTGCAGTACGAGCCAAGGATATTTATGGACGTTTTGGACCCTTCTGTGATCCTCAGTCAACGGATGTGATCTCTTCTTCCCAGAGCAGTTAAACCTTGGAGCCTTTATCTCTTCCTCTTTGAAAAGTTCCACTTTTTGGTCATGTTTTAATCTTGTGCATGATACCCATTGTAAAATCCACATTGTGCAAGATTTCTTGGACAGATGTGTATATACACTACATTTGTTTATAATCAGAGTAAAATAAACTCAGCCCATAAAGCAAGAATCTTTTCCTGGACAATTCAAGCGTCAAGGTTTTGAAATGTAAATGTGCACCTTTCTTTAGTTTTGAGCCTGGGGAATATGTGTGGGTATTTGTGTGGGTTTTTCCCCCCCCTATTTATATGTTTATTGCAGTGGAATCTCCGTTTTCATTCTCATATTTACTTCTCTTCCAGTATAAAGTAAGTAGATCAAAGGAACTGAGGTTCGTAACTGGCATGATTCTGCTTCTAAGGGATCTGTAGGTTCATAGTTAAATAATTTAAACAGAATCAAAACAACTCAAAGAAAGAAATAAAAGCAAAATGGCTAAATTGTTCTAAAATAGGTTAATTTGAATACAAGAAAGGATCTGCTCATCTTTTTCTTTTGTTTCTTCTGGATTGTTAATCAGGTGAAAAAAATCTGCAACAGCCTCTCCCTTTCCTAACCTGGCTTTTACATTTATTTTGTGCCTTAAAGAGTAACTGCAAAAATAAACACGACCATTTGTCCATTGTTGTTTACTCTTCCCTTTCAGCCTTTCACCCTTCATCTTTCCCTCATCTCCACAAAATGTAGCACACTCCCCTCAAGTAAATTTTAAACCAAGGCTTTTTATATATTGTCAGTGGCATTATTATATTTAACTCCAAAAAATTGACTTGCTATTTTCTTCTAAGAACAAATGCTTTTATTTTTGGTCACTGTTTAAATTACCTCTGTGTAAAGTGGACCAAGAAAAGACAACTAAGAAAAATTTCCTTCAAGCATTTTAGTATCTGTGTTCGCAGTGTTAGAAATTATGAAAGCAATTCTAGTTCACTTTATCACCCAAAGCATAGTATTCCTTCAAAGGAAGTAAATAGTAAAATTCACAAAAAACAGTAAGCTAAAATAGAAAAGGGAAAACTCTATCATCTCTTTATTCTCATATCAGTCTTTCTGTTTTAATCTTTAACTTTGTTTTGATGATGCCAAGTTTTGTCTGATTTACTGTCTGTCAGCTTTGGATAGAATTTAACGTATGTCCTCTGGGGTGGTTTTATATAACAATTAGATGTAACTTACTGTGCATCTTTGTTCCTCTTCAAAGTTAATCAAATTCTGCTTACGTCATGCATCTTCAGTATGAATGCCAGCTCCACTGGTTATCAGGAAGGTGTTTGAGCATAGGTAGGAAAGGACTGCTGGGGTAAGTTTGGGGATGAAAGTGTGGCTGAGAATGTTTTGAAAGGAATTCATGGAGTTTGTGAAATAATTTATCAAGTCATCTTCCCTTAACCATATTGGAATTCCTTTTACTGCCTTTTCAACTTATTCGTAATTTTTTTCCAGAATTATAGGAGGGAGCTGTCCCTTCTATTAATGCTGCTTTGTTTGCAACCCTGGTTGGTTTGTTATCAGAAGCATTTTAGTTGTAAAGTCCTTGGAGACTTTGACCAGTCAGTGAACTGTCATGTTAGTTGTGAAGTTTAACTGATGCTGAAGAAAGCCTACAGATTGCCAAACTGTAAATGCTCCAAAACCTTCCTTTCACTTTCAGAAAATGAGGCCACAATGAGAGTTTTCATGAATCAAATTTGCCAAGCAACTATGTAGATGTTACTCATTCTAGGACTAATAACGATGGTAAAGAAGTTGCCGGTGTCATGCCAATGAAAATTTCAAAAAGGGATATCTTCTAGGTGTACCTGAGCACCTCTCTATATTTGCATGTATGTATGTTTTTACCTGCAATGGTTGCAATGTTGATTATGTGTTCAGGATCATTCCTCTACAGAACAGAAAGCCCATGTTCAAAATTGTTCTTTATTGGCTTATTTTATGGTCACATAATAATAATTTGCTTACCTAGCCTAGAAAAGGTTACCTTGGTGAATGTTTTTATTTATACTCACTAATCCTTTTATTTTTTATTTTTTGAAGTTTTCATAGCATTATATAATCAGGTGAAAAAAGCCCAGTAGAATGAAAATATTTCATTATTTTAGCCTACTTTGTGTTTGTCAAAAAATAGTCAAATAGTAACCCTAAAAATAGATGTAGTACAGTAAAATAAAACTTATTATTCCAGATGGTGAAAGATACAAATTATTTGAGGAAAAAGCATATTTTAAGATGATCTCCTCCAATTAGCCTGCCATGAGACCTGTGGGCAACAGCTATATTGGATTTACTGAAAGGTGCTAGGCTAGAATTCTAGACTTTTATTTTGGGCAAGATTTAAAGATGAGCACTTTTTGTTTGTTTTTGGGGGGAGAGAATGGAGGACTCATCTAGGAATAACTACTGATTACAGACTTTTTAGCAATTCACACCCCCACATGGTACCTTTTCACAAAGTATTACAAATAAGCTTGATTATCCCATTTTGGGAGTGCAAGTTTGGTACATTTTTACCCTGACAATACTTGTTAAGTATTGCCTTGAAAATCCTGGAAACTTTTGTTATTTCAACCTGAAATATAGGATGTGTATATGGCATTTAAAGGTAATGGGGATGTTACTCTCTACTTTGCACTTTGCCAGAGTAATTTTCACCCTGTTTTAAGTGTGAGTAAGCATTTTTTCAAAATTATGTTATTGCAAATAAATTTGTAAATTACATACAAAAACAACATCTTTTAACAGTTAACTTGATGAGGCAACTATCCCTTTCTCTGGAACTCACTTTTTAAAATCTGCAGAATACATTCTCCGTTTAACACAGTAGGAATTAATGAGAGAAGTGAAGAGTAGAACTTTCTTCCTTGAAAAGTATTTATTGGGATACCAATTGCCCCCCCCCCACCGTCCCCACCCCAACCGATGGATAATAAATGAAAGGTTTAATTGAAAAAGAGCAAAGAGCTCAAAATTTTAGGTACAGCTCCGCAGAACTCATGAGGCAGGCTGCACCATACAGGTCTCTTACTGTTTCGCTTAAGTGTTAACTTAGTTTTTGTCGTTTGCTCTTTTGCTTACATTTTCTAAATTATCATTTCTGTAGCGAGGTATTAGTACTGCATGATATGCATTTATCGTGTTTCACGAATTTCCCAGTACTGTACAAGATTAACAAAACATTGCCTGTGCTTTCCTCCCCTCTTGCTTTTATACCCCTGATTTTAGCACAGTGGAGCACTGCAAAGACCTTCCATATGTTCTCGCAGACTTACTTTCTTGGGTTGTTTAGTATCCTATGATTCGTTCATTATTTTCATTTTATCATTGACCGATCATTGGCCCGTTTTATTCTAACTTCTGGAAAAACCATGTACCCGTATTAGATTATTGCAAATAACTATCTAAAACCTATGTATGAGTCTGCCTTCCTTACTGGGCAAATGATGCCCTTTCCCCTACCTTTTTTTTTTTTTTTTTTACATTTTGGGACAAAAAACAATTTTTATGAGGTGTTTTGTTAGTGTGAGAGATTTGTGTAATTCCTAAAATACATCCCCTTTGAGCCAGCCATTGGGGAGGAATAGGACAATACAAAGTTTTATCATGTTAAAGTTTTTTTTTTAATTCATAGACAGCTAAATATCCATCATTTATATTTAAATGGTGTCTTGTTTTGTTTGTTTTTTGTAAATAAGGTAACTGGGCAATCAAATTTACCTTTTGGGGATCCGGGCTTTGGTATTTCATCAGCCATTTTAAAACTAAATATAAAAATAAATCCTTTGTAGGAAACTTGCATTCTGATTTTTCTTTATTGTAGTTGAAAGTGTAAATAATAAGACAATGTAAGACCTTCCTAATGTCTAATACAAACTGGGCTATAGCAAGTTGCCCTATTTTTATTAGGTTTTAAAAGTTTTTTTTTTTTCTTTTCTAAATGTACAGTAGACTGGTGTCTGTATAAGTGTTAACTGTAGTGGGATTTTGTCCAGCAAGCCTGAAATTTATACTTTGAAATAAACTACTGGGTTTTTAACATTCTGAGTACTCTGATTCATTCTGATTCTTCTTGGCCCATGTGTTTATTTTAAAAGTCACCTTTTAAAAAAATCACCTATTAGACTGTGCAGTATGGTTTATTTAACCTATTGGGCATTACCACAGCACTCAAACCACACATAATTTTTCAACTTTAAAAGAAAAGTTGTTATGCAGAGTTGCTTCCAGATTAGAGACACTAAATGGTTTGCTATATCGTGTGCCTAGACTGCACCACCAAAAGACTCATCTGATAGTTGTTAATGCCCAGAAAATCATTAACTGCATTTCTATTAGAAGTTCCTTTGAAAACACAGCACCACCTTTCTCTGAGCTTTTGTCATTAAGTATGTCCAGCCAGGGAA